CAACACTTGTGACACCAAGAACAGCATGCCACAAGACTGCGCCGGTGTCATATAGCAGCATAATTGTAATAATCGTTTTATAAATGACGTCACTCGATCTATATTCTTGTCCTGCTTCAACGACTTGTATATGAGAGAGAAGAGCAATGCTGAATGACTCGTGTTGAATATCTCCGCGTTTGTCAGTTTACGATATAACGCTGTGTAGTATCTGGAAAATTGCAAAATTATATGATGAATTGCTTTTAGATATGGTCATATTAGTTCAAATAAACTTTTAATCTACTTTAAAACAGCGAAAATAGCGCTTGTATTTTATTTGTCTTAGTGGAAAAAGGGTTTAACGACAGACACATACTCTGCTTTCACCAGCGAGCAGACACAATCTAGTCTTGACTAGCTTTAGACACTAAATCACCTATCTACATTACTTCTAGAGGTATCACTGCAGAGAGACACTAAGTCCAGCGAGGTGTACGAGTCTGTGCATCGCAGACACGTGCCCCACTATCACCAATATGCATTTATAGACAATCTACACGTGTCTAACCCTGCTAAGTTAAGACACTAACTCACCTATCCGCAGTGCCTTCAGAGGCATCACTGATATGAAACAGCAAAGCTAACGCGTGTACAGAGACACTAAGTCCAGCGAGGTGTACGAGTCTGTGCACCGCAGACACGTGCTCCGCTATCGCCAGTCGATCTTTGTCCGCGAACGGGTACGCACGCTTCACACCCGTTAGTATTGCAGACATTAAGCGAGAATCTATTTCACCCTGGAATTAATCATTTTTATGGAAATTACTAGATGTCTCCCGCGACTCGATTTTCCAGACTATGTTCCACATTTGTGCTAAATTTCATCAAAATCTGTTGAGTTGTTCTGGAGATATCTTCAAACATCCATCCATCCATCTAAACATTCGCATTTATATTAGTAGCATAGTACTTTCATATGATTCTTCATCATCATCATCAGCGCACTATACGTTCCCACCGAGGGGCTTAGAGCCTACCCTAAGTTAAGGGTGATTAGGCCTTAGTCAACCACTCTGGCCAAGTGCGGGTTGGTTGACTTCACACATATCTTTGAATTTCTTCTCAGATATGTGCAGTATCACTATGTTTTCCTTCACCGTAATAACGTCGTACATATGTAAATCGGAAATGGAAAAACACATTGGTACATGGCGGGATTCGAACCCAGGACCTGCAGATTGCAAGTCAAGTGCTTGACCACTGAGCCACCGACGCTCTATTAAATTAGACACATTATATATATTTTTTAATATTACAAACCTTTTTAATAGAAGCTTTGAAGAATGAGAAATATATTCTTATAAGATTCTCAGCTATCTTTGAATCATCTTTGCCGAGGAAGAACTGATTTAGAAAACAGATTCCATAGTATTGAGCTCTCGATGAAATGTTCGTTCTGAAAAGACAAGTAACATATTAAATTATATCTCAATGTAATTACTTAGTTCGTGAATAATTTAAAAAAAAAATTAGTAATAAATATAGTCTATGCCACTCGGAGATAGTTTAGCTTTACAACAGCGAAATAATTTTTCAAATCGGTTCAGTAGTTTCGGAGTTTATAAAAAACAAACAAACAGATCTTTCCTGTTTATTTATTTATATTAGTCCAAATTGTAAATATGAGTAGATAGAATAATCTCACTTTAAATAATATCCTAAATTAAACAAAAACAGATTCTTTTACATAATTTTTTGTAATTTATGTAAAACATGTAAGTTTTTAATTAACATTTTTATCAATCACTTACACTTAATTAGTAGCCTATGTGTTCTTCCAGACTATGTTCTACATCTATACCAAATTTCAATGAAATCCGTTAAACTGTTCCGGAGATACCTATCATCCATCTAAACATTCGCCTCTAATATATTAGTAAGACTATATGTCGCTCGCAACTCAGTCCGGGCAGAATTAAATAGTAGCCTATGTGTTCTTCCAGACTATGTTCTACATTTATCCCAAATATTATTAAAATCCATTGACTTGTTCCGGAGATACCTTCTAACATACATCTAAACATTCGTATTTATAATATAAGTAAGATAGAATTTAGTACTTACCTGAACAACATCTTCTCAATCTCAGCGAGCACCACCGCCTTCATATTGGGATGATTGAATAACAATTGACAGAGATGGTATATCACTTTGGATGCCACAGTCTGAGATGGATCTCCTAACTTATTTATGATATTGGTCAACAACATCTATAAGACAAAGTTTAAATAAGAATCATAATCAGCCCACACATGGACGCAGAGCCCGCTCATGTTAGGAATAACTAGGCCAGTCAATGCTGGCTCAGTGCGGGTTGACTTCACTCATCATTGAATTTCCTTACTTTAAGAATGTCGGATAAATGTATGTATGTAAATTGAGAAACACATTAGTACATGGCGGGATTCGAACCGAACACCTGCAGATTAAGTAAAGTGCCTAATCCCCGAGCCACCAATGCTCTATATCTATTAACCGTTAATAAGAAGAAAATGCTATTATTTATGTTATTTCATGGTTCCTTGTCATATGACAACTTGTCTTAAGAAAACTGTCTAATATTTTTAGATGCTGTTATTTTTATGTTACCTTTTCTCTTTCCGGATGATGCATCAATAAATAAGACATTGAACTGACGGCTTTCTCTTTGTTGGCTTCGACAGAGTCATGAGCAAATTTGTTGAGAGCTTCTACATATGCTGTAAAAAAACAAATCTTATATTATAAATGCGAATGTTTAAATGGATGTTTGTTAGAAAGTATCTCCAGAACGGCTGAACGGATCTAGATGAAATTTGGTATACATATAGAACATAGTCTGGAAAAACACATAGGCTAATAATTTAATTCCACTTCAAATATGTTTTTTTGTGTCACGGGTGACTAGTGATTTATAATAGTAAGACAGTTATATTTAAATTTGCACAATTTCCTTAAAAAGGACTACAAAGTTGTTGCTTAAAATATTAATATACAGTCGAGTCACAATAAGCGAGATTACAAGAGATTGCTATATTTTCCTCTCTTAAGGAGATTGTCCATCAGGAACGGAGACTAGGAGACGTACTCTAGTTTACACAGTTTTCTCGTTTATCCTGGTTTGACTGTAATGAGAAATATATTGTAACTTACATCCATACAACTCTTTCAATTGATCTTCGAAATACCACAGTTTCAATATATTTCTACGAGCTTGTTTATTCCCTGATGTCATTTCATCGACATTTCCCAATGAATGTTGCTCAAATTTACGTAACTTTAAATCAGGTAACAATAATTCTGAGACAAAAAGCTCTGATAGTGCATCTGAAAAGGACATGAGGATTTTGTTTAGATAAAATAGAATGTGTGAAACTTAGACTTAGGGGTTAAGCACTTGACTTGTAATCTATAGGTCCTGGGTTTAAATCCTGCCATGTACCAATGTGTTTTTCAATTATTGATTTAAATATGTACATTTAACCTAAGTCCTGGTGAAATAAAACATTATAATAGAACCTGCACAATTCTATGAATACAAAGAGCCATCATGGTTCATGATGGCTTAGTCACCGCTGATTTGAGTAAGCTTTGAGACTCTCGGTGAGAATGCACAGTGAGCTGTTCATGATGATATGTTTAACCATATTTTAATAGTATATTGGTAGCAATAAATCTATTTCATAAGAGGTTATATTCCTAAGAAGGAAATTACATAATCTGAAGGATATGAAGCCCTGAAGGATGGAATTAGGACATGATGGTGATGATTTACTAATAAATATTTTCCTTACCAATAATTACTATTCCATCTTTCTTTTTGGCTGGCTTTACATTGTTGACTAAATTCCTTAAAGCCGTCAAATTGTAAATAGGATTGTCCTGAAAAAATATACATTATTAAGCACAAATTTCTGTAATATTTGTAGTAAAAATCTATTTTACTATAATTGTAATAAATAAAAGTGATTGAGTATACCTGTATTAAGATAGTTGCAGCAGCAACTCTATCACCAATAGCACCTTTATTTAACAGGGTTCGTGCCCATTGTTGGTCAGATGAACCACTTCTGTTTGACTCTAAAATAATATTGAAATATATAAGATTAACACTGGGATCTAACAAGGGTATTTTTAGACTGACATTTGGGACAGTTTAGGCATAAGTTTAAAATAACTTACTTGTTTCATAAGCTAAAGTATCGCCATGTAAAGCACTGCTCGCTTCCTTTCTAAGCTCTTCAATTTGATCCTGACTCAAAGTTTTACTTGCTGTCGGCTCTTCTGGTATCTACAGTATGAACAATTAGTGAGATAAAATGGCTCTTAGTGTACAATACATGAAGTCATGGAGATTAATTACCTGGTGAAACCATTTCTTCCTCTCGCCATACTCCAATGTTTCTGCGAAATGTTTGGCAATGCCCACACCTTTTTTTTGATCCTCATTTTTGTCAACTTTACCGTAATTGGTGTACGCCTCATCAACCAAAATATTCTCTTCGAATCTCTTATGCTTCATTTTGTTATTTTTTAATTAGATCTACAATTACATTTCCAAAATACAAACACGTGAAAAGCACGATATTTGACTTTGACAAGACTTTGACGGTTGTTGTCAAATATTTAGAATTTAATTGGCAAGTCTTGCCAGAAACCCGAAACTTAATTTTAAGCAAAAAATAAAAAAAACTTCTCGAAAACAAACTCTTATTTATTAAATCTTTGCGTTTTCTTGTTTTGGAAATTTGATCAAGTATATCTGCGAAAAGGAAAAACCATAAAAAATCATGTTTTAAGTTCTTCAGTGGCTGTATGTTGGATACCTTTCACTGGAGGCGATAATTAAATACAACTTTTATGTAGGTGTGTCATGTCAAAAATTTTTAAACTCAATTCAAATTATGCTTTATGTCAATTGGTTTATATGCTATATTTCTTAAACAAAAACTACGACTTGACATAGCGTACTTACTGACCAACACCGACTGTCACTCTTATAAACTCAATTTTGCACCATTGATTTCTTGAAGTGATTTAATTAAGAATATATTAGTTCAATACTTTTAAATTGTAATAATAAGTTAAAAGTCTATTATGGATGATCAAGGAAGAAAAGTTATCGTTTGCGATAACGGTACTGGGGTAAGTTCAGTGTAAAATGCTTATGAGGTGTAAATTCGTCAGATAAGCGACTGATTCATCATTTAACATTAACTTTATTCCAGTTTGTAAAGTGCGGATATGCTGGCAGCAATTTCCCTGCTTTCATTTTCCCATCAATGGTCGGCAGACCAATCATTCGAGCGGAAAACAAAATAGGAGAAATTGACGTTAAGGTAAGGAAAAAATTGTTTATACCGGATGTTAAAGACATATTGTTACTTTTTCACTAAGCGATTAGTTATTTTCCATAAGCATTAATTCGTTATTTTCCATAAGCATTAATTCGTTAAAGTAAAAAAGTTATTTAATTTTAGACAATATGAATTTGAACCAAAGTCTAAACCTATATGTAATGATAATGTCATAAAAATTAATTTACTATCATATCAACTTGTATACATTTAACTCTATATTTTAAATTATTAATTTAATCCCGCTGATTACTCATACAAATCTTCAATTAGGGAGCTTCCTAATTAACCTTTTAACAACTGTGAGTGTGGAAATAAAGTTATAAATGATCATCTTGATATCCTTTTCCACTAAGAATTATGCAAAGCAAACTGGTCCTGCCATTGCTATGGCTAGATTTCAATCTAATTGCATTATGTCAAATGACATGTTCTTCATTGTACAGTCAGATGTATTAATATATATGCATTTATAAAGCTACAAAAACTTATATAGGCCTTCGGTTTAAAAATATAACATTCACATATTCCTCCATATGCTTCCAACAATGAATACATGTTCTTCACAAATACATGCATAAGTATTTTTAAAATTGACTGCCTACATTGTATACATATTTATGAAGCTGACTGTACATATTTATTATTTTAAACTTCTATTTCACTGGTTTATTGTTTTAAAATTGAATGAATTCATTGAATTCATGAATTTATGAGTAATTAACATTATACTAAAGGAATTTGATGATCAAATTATCTTTAAATGCCATATTATTGTAAAATATATATAACATAAGTATGTGGTACTATTATTTGGGAAGAAAATCAAAGTTATGTTTGTAGGCAACTAGCCTCCACTGGGCTGACTGTGGCCTAGTCATCCTTATAGAAACCGCTGTAAAAAATATTGTTATCTCTTATTTTGAAGTTAAATGAGAGAGATGAAGATATATTTTTATACAATGTTGTCTATAGACCACAGTATAGGTGTTTTAACTAATAAATTGCACTTTTTGTGCTATGCTATTGGTATGTTGAGATGATGTTACATTATTAAGGCTTCACTCTTAGTTTTTAAGATAATAGGTATTAGTATTTTTTTTTATATCAAAAGGTGGCAAACGAGCGAGCGGCCACCTGAAATCGCTGAAATAGTTGCCCAAAGACATACGCATTTGCAATTGCGTTACCTACCTTAAACCGACGGAGGAGATGCACAGAAAGAAAATATCTTCATTTTCCATGCATCCTCTCGTCCGGAAAGTTCATTTCCACTTGCCATCCTTTCCTTATAAGAAAAAGGGTGCGAAGGGAAAGTGGACTAAATTATGCCTCCGGGACGCACACACATCAGACGTAACGTGGAATTGCTTCCACTTCACGCCTGTCTTCTGTGTGGTCGTGGTGTTTCACCGGGCCAGCCGGGCCGATTCGTGCGAAGATGTTAAAGCGGGCTCTACCACTGTTAAAAGATTCAAAGATTCTGTTAGTTATTGTTTATAACTAGTGATGTAAGGGTTACTACACACACATATTCTACATTTCTTTATATTTCTGATGTGAACATAGAAAAATTAGAATCTAATTATTATTTGATAGTAAAATTTTATGCAGTCTGTGGTTATAGCAAAAGTGTGGACATCCTTTAAGATGTTTCATTTGACAAGTGATAAGTGCAATCTATTAGCATTTCTTCTTTCTAATATATCATATATTTTTCAGGGAATAACTATTGGAGTAAGTGGTATATAAGCATGATATTACGAATGTTATATACAATAACAAAAGAATATATTAATTACTGACAAGTTTTTAACAATATTTGTTTTGTTGAAATTAACTGTGATTTTTTTTGTGTTTTAAATATAATTATTAATTAATTTAATTGATTTTATGTTATAAAATTTATCCTAAAAATAGGTTTATATTATAATTTTATTCATAAAAAACTCGGTCTACAAATATATATTATTTAATTAGTAAAAAGATTATTTTGTAATTAACTATTTGTATATTACATATCTTGCGAAGATGTTAAAAGATATGTGTGAAGTCAACCCGCACTGGTCCAGTATAATCGACTAATCTAGTCATCCCTAACTTAGGGTAGGCTCCGAGACCCTCACTGGGGATGTATGAGCTGATGATTGATGCATAGATTAAAAAGCCTTATGCACTTCATCTCTCCAAAGGGTTACATATTTTTCGTTTGACATCTTATATAAAACTCTCGTGTCATAATGTTAGTTACCATATTCCTCTGAAATGTCTTGATCGATTTTTATGAAATATTATATTTATATGGTCTGAGAATCGGTTGCTATGTATTTTTTAATCCCATGCGGATGAAGTTATCATCATCCAGGCTTTATCCCATTTATGTGAGGTCGGAGCACAAGGTTTTTGAATAGCTTAAGGTTTTAGCTTATTTTTTTTACGGCCGGATGATAGGATTAGGATACTTGGAAGGCTAGTATACATAATGATAATATTATTCTAACATTTTATGCATCCCAGACGTTCAACTCTGAGATTGTGCAGGTAAAAGCGAATGCTTTAACACTGGCAAACGCTTGAGCAACTTATTTTGCATACCTGATAAACATAGATTAGGATTTTACATAGCGGACCATTCAGATGTTAAAGAGTTATATCTTTAATGAATCTTTTGAGATGTAACTTTTTGTCATATAGTTCTATAGAGGTATCCTTGTTTGTGGCATGAGAACCTAATCTAATGATGTTTTATAGCTTAATATATATAATATCTTTATACAAATGCTACTTTTTTAATACTGATGTTTGATTTTATTGCATTTAATTTTATATATATAGGGGATGTTATTTTTTTCTTTAGCTTATTAAAAAAAATTCTTGTAAATACGAAAACTTTTTAAATAATATGTAATTAAATGCAATTTAGTCTATCGAATAATTTTCTTTTTTTAGACATAGTTTTTTTTTTTTCTTTATTTTGTTACATTGTGAATAGCTTAATTAAAAATTTAATTTTGTGTTATTACAGCTGTATTTATACTAATTATTAACAAACATTTTTTTTTAAATTTTATATTGAAAGTGATTTTTCTTTTAGGATTTGATGGTTGGAGATGAAGCATCTCAATTGCGTTCGATGCTTGAAGTCAGCTATCCAATGGAGAATGGGGTGAGAATAAGTTCTATAGAAAAATATTAATAGTACTAGAATCTGTAGCAATATTTATACCTAAATGGATCATCTTGTCCGGTAAAATGCCACTATTGATGGATGTCATTTCGTTTGATAGATGAGGTTCCTTAGTTCTCTCTTTACTCCTCTATCAATAATTTTTATAAAATAGGTAGAGATTGGATGGAAAAAATAACACATCTTAAACAATAATGAATTACAAATGAATATATGTACACTTATACTTTATCTTACATGAATTAACTAGATCTAGAAAGTATAAAATGCCTTCAAAAGCATCTCTACAGGATGTCCCATTTTCAGTAATGTTTGTATACAATTAAATTTAGTATTAAATTAATATTAAAATCATTTATTCTCAGGTTGTACGTAATTGGGAGGATATGTGTCATGTGTGGGACTACACATTTGGTCCAAGTAAGATGAATATTGATCCTCGGGAAACTAAGATATTGCTCACCGAACCCCCCATGAACCCTACTAAGAATAGAGAGAAGATGATTGAGGTAAGTTCTATTAACTAGTAGTTCTTTAGTGTAAGAAATGTAATAAAAAAAACTTCAAATAAATGACTACATATTTAGGCTTTGTACTGTTAAGAAGAAAATCCGACAATGTACCGGTATACTGGCGCAACACTAGCCTTACAAAAATGTCGACGTTTATGTCCCCTCACTAATCATTCTCGACACTTGACTTTGTAACGAAAGCGCGACAAAGGATTCTAACTATTAATGTCTAAAAGTAACTATTTAAATTATTATTAAAAGATTAAATTTAGGTTTTGTGCTTGTTTTTGCATTTAAGCTTTAAAATATATTCATTGTCTATGGTTACTATAAGTTTTTTGTATAAATAATGTTGTTTATGGTACTTACAAACATGTATAAAGGAAAGCAGAGATAATATTTGCTTTTTCTTAAGTATGCAGCATTTTTTTTTCAGGTAATGTTTGAGAAATATGGCTTTGATAGTGCGTACATTGCTATACAAGCGGTATTGACTTTGTATGCACAAGGCCTTATCTCCGGAGTAGTGGTTGATTCAGGTAAGTTATTTTGTCCAACTAAGGTTACGTACGTACAGGCTTGCTTATTACCTAGACCCTAGTGGTTGGCATTCTAGCTACTTGTTACGATGCACGATTGTCACACTGTCAGTGTGCGGACGTAGTCCAATACAGGGTGATTTATACATAGTTTGACAGTTGACTTTGTTTTTTTTTAAACCAGTCTTAAACAGTTTTTATGACATCTACTGGATCTGAAATATTTAGTTACAATAACCGATATGTTGTTTTAACTGAACTTATAAAAATCTAAAGGGTCAGTGGCTTAGAGGTTAAGCAGTTTACTTTTAATGTGAAAATCATGGGAATTCTTTGTTCTTGGTTTCTTACGGTGAAAGAAAATATCGTGATGCTGTACATATCTGTAAAGAAATTCAAAGATGTATGAAGTCAAGCACTGCGTCATCATTGACTATGACCTAGTCACTAACTTAGGATAGACTCCGTGTCCCTCAGGGACTCCCTCGGGGACTTGTTGAGCTGATGATGATGTTTGTTTTTAGGTGATGGTGTAACTCACATCTGCCCAGTATATGAAGAGTTTGCATTACCACATTTAACGAGGCGTTTGGATATCGCAGGGAGAGACATTACTAGATATTTGATAAAAGTATGTATAAAACATTCTTACTAATATTATAAATGTGAATGTTTGGATGTATGGAGAACATAATCTTGAAGAATACATACGCTACTAAATAAGTTTTTTAATACCGCGCGGACTGACTCGTGGGCGACAGTTAGTACTGTATAAAATTTTAGAAAGAGACAATATAGGTTTTGTAGAGCGTTGTCTCTGTCGCACAGTACTTGGCTTCGTATGTGCGACAGAGACAACGCTCTACTAAAAGTAGTTATGTCTCTTTCTGAGAACGATGTAACGTGATTCATTTCATTATTATTAATTTAACTATTTCTTGTTAAACGTAAATTAAATGTTTACTTTATAAGGAAGTAAATGGTATCTTCTAGAATTTTCTAAAGGTAATCTTATTGAAGATCGTAACTGTAATAAATATTTATACGTGTGATAATTTCTTATCTGTCTGTCTGTGCTCAAGACGATGTTTGTTCCGAGTAATCTCCGGAACTGGTAGACGGATTTTGACAGGACTTTCACTAGAAGGTAGCTGATGGAAGCAGGAATGTTATAGGATACTTTTTTTTTAAATTAAATTATCTCGAGACTAAGGTGTCAGGCGATTATTAGTTTTTATATATTTGTCCATAGTTACTATTACTACGTGGGTACGCGTTCAATCATTCCGCGGACTTTGAAACTGTGCGAATGATGAAGGAGAAACTTTGTTACATCGGATACAATATAGAACAAGAACAACGTCTCGCCTGGGAGACAACAGTACTTGTTGAACCTTATGTTGTAAGTATAACAAGTAAAACTATGTTAATCTTACTAATATTATAAATGTGTTTGGATGTATGTTAGAAGGTATCTCCAGAAAAGCTTTTTTTATATTATGAGATGGCAAACGAGCGAGCGGCCACCTGAAATCGCTGAAATAACGAAGTGACCGTTGCCAATAGACATATGCAACTGCATATGCGTTGCCTACCTTTAATCGACCGAGGAGAGGATGCACAGAAAGAAAATATATTCCATTTCCATGCATCCTCTCATACGGAAAGTCCACTTCCACTTCCCATCCTTTCCTTCCAGCATATTTCACTTTCCGATACATTCCCTCTCAAATCCTATAGTTTAACACGTTCTCTGCCAACGCGGTCAATCCTGACCGTCAGTGAAGTTTCCCCTTAGGACTATTAAAATTTAAAATCTGTATAAAATTACAAAATTGTTTGCCTGTGAGAACGAAATGAAAACTCTCGTTAGATGCGACCATCACTGACCGACACGGCTTGAACTAAAAGTTTATATGTCAACTATCACTGACTGACAGCGCCCGGATAGGAAAGTGCGATTGTTTTCTCGGCATAGAACGTGTTAAACAACTTGTGTCATATAATTCTTAACCAAAATGACATAAGTGGTGTCTTGATTGTTAAAATAATTAAATTTCTATTAGTTACCCGATGGCCGAGTGATCAAGGTCGGTGGTGAGAGATTTGAAGCTCCCGAGGCTCTGTTCCAGCCTCACCTCATCAATGTTGAAGGTCAAGGGATTGCTGAGCTGGTGTTTAACACTATACAGGTAATTTTTTATTTAAATCTTATTAATATTATAAATGCGAATGTTTAAATAAATGGATATTAGAAGGTATCTCCAGAACAACGAACATAGTGGAAGAACACATAGGGTACTTTTTAAGTTTTTTTTTAGTTCTGCGCAGACGGAGTTGCGGACGAGAGCTAGTCTCAATATAAGTAAACAAGTACCATAGAAAACAACAAGAATCAATTTAAATAATTCCATCTAGTTCTCACATATAGAAATTAGACGACCTCCATAAGCGAGAACTCAAGTTAGACGGAAACCTCTATAAGCGAGAAATTCGGGTTCGAGAGAAACTCTTCCTAATCCATATTTTTTATTTTTTTTCATAATTTATATTCCAGGCAGCAGATATAGACATGCGAAATGAACTATACAAGCACATAGTGTTATCAGGAGGGTCGACCATGTACCCCGGTCTGCCCTCTCGCCTGGAGAGGGAGATCAAACAGCTGTACTTGGAGAGGGTGTTGAGGAACGACTGCGATAAACTTGCCGTGAGTTTGTAAACTGACGATAGAATAGTTAAATTATATTAGCTTATTACATTTATTGACTTTTATAAAGTTATTGAGCTTTTTTATAAGCACGTAAGTTACGATACGTAACTTTTTTTCTCATCTAATTACTTTTTTTTAAAGAAAACACATAATATAATTCAATTTATTACAGTTTAAAGGAATTTTCTATGACTTTTTTTAATATTTTTAATAGAAATTCAAGATTCGCATCGAAGACCCACCGCGACGTAAAGACATGGTGTTCATAGGGGGCGCTGTGCTCGCTGAAGTCTGCAAGAACAGGGACAACTTCTGGCTCTCCAGAGCTGAATATCAGGAACAGGTATATTAGACTAAGACTAATTACTATATTTATATTAAATGGCAAATATGCAAGCTGCCTGGATTCGCCGAAATATAGAAGCGTCCAGTGTCCTTGCGTTGCCTACCTTTAATCGACGAATCGCACAGAAATAATGTTTCTACTTCCTGTGCGTCTTCTCCGTCAAATCCACTTCATCTTCCCATCCTTTCGTTTTAAGAAAAGGGTGGATAGAAGACTAAAATTATCAGATAAATTTACTTTCAATACGAGGCTGAAATTATTAAACACACAAACGTCAACTTCCAAACACGGAATTACGATATTTTATTATTAAAATTACTTTTGTAGACTTAAAAGTGTTTTACCAAAAACATTTTGAAATTTCCAACTTTAAATCGCAGATTTTTTTTTAAATATTAGCAGGTTTTTTTTTTGTAAATTTACTAATATTTCTTTTACCATTCCAACTAAGCTCTAAGGTTGTGCTAGGATATGGTTTACGATAATAGTCGAATGGCGGGATTCGAACCCCCGACCTCGTGATCGGAAATCCGTACGCTTAACCATTAGGCTATTGACGCTTCTTTTTTGTTTGTCTATGGTGATTTTCGGATTTAGAAAAACACCAAATGAAAATACTAAAAATGTTGAATTTTTTTTTCAGGGTATATCCTGTCTGAGAAAACTCGGCCCAAGAGCAAGTTAATTAAATCTACAATAATATAATTATGAGATGTATTCCAAAAATGTATTATTATAAAGAATTATTAATAAAAAAATATTGATACTTAAAACATATTTAACACGAAATATAATATTCCATTCATAGATTTTTTTTTAGAAAATATGAAATACAGTCAAACTTAGATACGCGAGAAACCTCTACAAGCGAGAAACTCTGGTGAGAGAGAAGCCTCTATAAGCGAGAAAATCGAATTAGAGTGAAACTTATATAAGCGAGAAACTGGCTAGAGAGAAGCCTCTATAAGCGAGCAACTCGGGCTAAAGAGAAATCTCTATGAGCGAGAAACTCGGGCTACAGAGAAAACTTTATAAGCGAGAAACTCGAGTTCGAGAGAAGCTTCCATGAGCGAGAAACTCGAGTTCGAGAGAAGCTTCCATGAGCGAGAAACTCGGGCTAGAGAGAAACCTCTATAAGCGAGAAACTCGAATTCGAGAGAAGCCTCCATAAGCGAGAAACTCAGGCTAGGGAGAAACCTCTATAAGCAATAAACTTTCGTTACAGAGAAACTTCTATAAGAAAAAATGCAAATCTTTGGACTCTCGCTTATCAAGGTTGAGACTGTACATTATTTGAAGATCGCTCTCGAAGTATTATAGTAGAAACCGGTTAAAATGACCTATTGCTTATAGCAACTGAAACAGTATCCCTGACGTCTGAATATTGTCAATCCTTCAATGTTGTTATAACCGATTTTTACCGTAATTAAATACAATAAAATATGAAACCTGTAATATCGATTCTTGTATAATGTACTTTTAAAAAGTTTTCTTTACATGAAATATGGTAATTATCAATAAAATATAGCTCTCCATAAAATAGTCGTCCAGTATTTAATGGAAATCATACATATTGAATAAAAAAATTAAAAAAAAAATTACGCACAAATTAATTTGACATATACCAATTGGTAATCATCATCATCATCATCATCAGCTCACAACACGTCTCCACCGAGGGTCTCGGAGCCTACCCTAAGTTAAGGGTGATTAGGCCATAGTCAACCACGCTGGTCAAGTGTGGGTTGCTTGACTTCATTATAATTGGTAATAGTCATTTTTACAGTTCTTTTTTTCTTTTAAGTTCTTTAAATATTATTATGAAGACTGTATTGCATTTATAATTTGCAATAAAATTACTTTACTACTGGTATTCGATTTTAATTTTCTTTTTCAAATAAATTTATAACTAAGATTAATGCGTTTTATTTAAAAAAATAAAACTACGAAACTATACACTGAAGTGTCAAAAACATCTAACTAATATTATAATGCGATGGATGGATGTATGTTTGTTTGAAATTATCTCCAGAACTGCTGAACGTTATCTCGATGAAATTTGGCATACATATAGAACATAGTATTGAAGAACACATAGTCTACTATTTTTTTTTATTTCGCGCAGACGGAGTTACGAGCGACAGCTATGATATATCCCCTTCCTAAGCATTCTCCGTCAAATTCAATTCTCCTACCAATAATTTGAAAGAAAATAGTTGGAAGGGTAAAGACGACTAAAATTAGGCCTCCGATAAGGATTACGCACTTGAAGCGTGGCTTCTGTGTGGCATATTGCACCGGACGAGCGGACACATTCTTGCAACATATGTTAGCGTCTAAGTCTACACTAAGCAACTCAAGGGGCACAGCAGTGCCACCGCCGAGGCAAACAGCTGAACTTCTAGGGACGATCTATTTTATAACCACTACGCAATAACTATAGATTTCACGACATAAATACAAAATTACTTTTTACATATGTCGAAATTAGTTTTGTATTATGTATAATTTCCAATTTAAATTCTTTGATTATGTGAAATAAATATGCTATCACACCCGTTACTTACAAGAGTAGGCAGAAATTATGAAATTGTTATGCACAGATTCTTTAGTTTCAGCCATATTTAATTTGTTTTGTCAATTTCACCTTTACATGGCCGAACTATCGAAAACCTTAATCAGTATTTTTGGAAATATAAAAACTAATTTTATGTTTTAGTTGTTTTTTTAGACGTTTCAAAAATGTATAATAGGTACAAATGATCTATTAATTTTGTTATGGAGTTAAAAATTAAAAAAAGTTAGAATTTAAAAAAGTAACCTAAACACATATTGATAGTTCCTATTTACCCCTTTAGTTAACAGGCGTGATTGTAAAAATTTTCCTTTCAATCAATATAATTTTTAGGTTATACCATGAAATTATTTGAATTATCTTAATTTAATTCTATCACGTGAAATTGTTTGCTTCAAGTATAAATACGTTTCGGTTTTTTATATATCACATTCGTGGTCGGTTTTCAAAAAGACCACGATGAAATTAATAATATTGTTCTGTGTTTTACTACCTCTGATCTACGGACAGGTAAACTGTTTTTTAATTTATAAGAGAAGGGGCTAAAAGACATGTAACACTAGAGAAACTGCAGATGCGTTGACCTTTGAGAAAGAAGACTCGGTTCTAGAAGGACCCTAAGTCGTAAGATTGGAAATACCGGTGAAAATAGACCATTTCACAATGCGGCTGTCGTGGCAGGATTATACATTATCTATTTTTGTTATGTTACCAATTAATAAATTTATTAATTTGCAACTTTCTTCACATAGTGATTTTTTTGACTAATTTAAACTATGTCTTTAATATATTATAGTTAGAACTTTGCTAAAATTGCTCCATAGGGACTCCAAGAGGACCCTCCAGATGATGTTGGATCGCGTCGGGGAAAACGTTCACCACAAGTAAGTCTGCGTTTGTATACTGACGTCCTTAAAGCCTAAACGACTTAACCAATTTAGATGAGTGAGGTATCATTCGAATGGTTTTCTATCGTATCTTTTCATTTTTTAAAATTGAAACTAGTGTTACATCTCATTTTTATTTTCTTAATATAATATTAAAAATGCGGAAGTTTAGATAAATGGATGTTTGTTGGAATGTATCTCAAGAACAGATAAACGGATCATCAAAAAAAATTGGCATAGATGTAGAAAATAGTCTGGAAGAACACATAGGTTACTTATTAAGATTTTTGTTTTTAATTCCGGGCGGACCGAAATGCCGGCGACAGCTTGTTTTTAAATAAAGTTCACTTACGTAATAATACATCATTTTAAAGTTACCACTATTTATGTTTAGGGACTCTTGGATAACACAGAAATTCGTGTAAACGTAAGTATTCTTATTACTCTATATTACTCAGCAAAATAAGCAATAGATCTAGTAATTTTGAGTCGCAATAACATTGCCATGTTTTTACGAAAATACGAAAACAGTTGGTATTTTGATCCTGAAAGTAACAACTTTGCTAAAATCGTTCCACAGGGTTTTCAAGAGGACCCCCCAGATGATGTTGGATCGCGTCGGGGAAAACGATCACCACAAGTAAGTCTGCGTTTGTGTACTGACGTCCTAAAAGCCTAAACGACTAAACCAATTTAGATGAGTGAGGTATCATTCGATTGATATTCTTCCCATGTCATAGGTATACTGGCATATGGATACATTGGAACTAATGTCACATTTTTAACTTGAGTCCTATTAACAATACATTTTAAAGTTACAATCTTTGTTTAGGGACTTTTGGATAACACAGAAATTCGTGTAAATGTAAGTATTCGATAAAATGTTGAATCTATTTAGTAATTTATTATTTCAATAGAACAATTCAACAAATGGTTTTGTTATATTTATAACGCGGAAAAAGACTTTTTTTTCAAGTAATTTTTAGTCAGAATCACGCTGCTATGTTCTGATTTAAGTGACGAAAAATGTGGTTTACTTTGAATTAGTTATTTAAAGTAATAACTTTGCTAAAATGACTCCATAGGGACTCCAAGAGGACCCTCCAGATGATGTTGGATCGCGTCGGGGAAAACGGTCACCACATGTAAGTGTGCGTTTGAATTTTGTCGTACTAAAATCTTAAACGACTTAACCAATTTAGAGGAGTGATTCGATCGGTATTCTTCCCCTGGCATAGGGATATTGTCAGGCGGGATTTTTTTTCGTTTGTAACTTTTAAAGTTACAACTATGTTTGCTTACGGACTCTTGTATAACACAGAAATTCGTGTAAACGTAAGTACTTATAAAAATATTTTGATTCTTCTTATTAATCTATGAATAATTAAAATAAGTAAATATTGTCTTTCCTAGTAATTTTAGGCGCAACTACATTGCCATTTAAAAAAAAAATACGTTTTGGTATTGTAACAATTTAGTGAAAATCGTTCCACAGGGTTTTCAAGAGGACCCTCCAGATGATGTTGGATCGCGTCGGGGAAAACGATCACCACAAGTAAGTGTGCGTTTGTATTCTGACGTCCTAAAAGCCTAAACGACTAAACCAATTTAGACGAGTTAAAAATTCGATTTGTTTTCTTCCCATGTCATACAATATGTTACATTTTCATACATCATTTTAAAGTTACAACTATCTTTGTTTAGGGCCTCTTGGATAACACAGAAATTCGTGTAAACGTAAGTACTCAGTTCCATATTTCATTATTATTATTAATCAAACATCAAATCATCACTTACAACTGTTTCTAAACTAACAAAAAATCTAATGAATAGTCTTAAATCTATGATATAAAATAAAATATTAAAAAAAACGAATAATTTACTATATTATTAAAAGGGGACTCCTTTTAGACAAGGTCCCGAAGATACTGGCAGCGTTCCCTCTTTGGACAGCTAAACTAATTCTTTGTCCGAGGTAGCTGCCAGCTCTTCGGTCCCCTGTGATGTTTAATTTTTTGGAACTGTTTCTTGTTTAGGAAATCTTCGATGATAAAGTGGATGGTGTTGAATTTGAAAACGTACGTACACAATTTCATCTAGAATATGTTGCAACTATTTTATGGATTTTATAAAATATTTTGAAAATGTTTTTATTATATTTATAGCGAGGAAAACGTTCGGCTGAAGTAAGTGTTTAATAAGGTTTTTTATATATCATATATGTAATTAAAATACTGCCTATAGTAAGTTTTATTGCTTAGAATTTCATGGACAACAACAACAATGGCGTTGAATTCGTGAGTGAATAAACGATTTAATTTCATCTTAATGTATTAAAAAGATATAAATAAACTTAAGAAACCTGTCTCTATTAAAGTTTACTGTTTACCACAGGATTCTCTTATATACTTCTCTTTTTTAATGTAGAACTTAATTAATAAATGATTGCCTTTTTCAGCTGCCCGCTGGAGCTGGCTTGATTAGAGTAAGATTTATTTTTATATGAATTTGTCTTTAATAATTCTTATTATGAAGGCATTCACGTATTCTAATATTGTTTATAATTTTTTAGATGGCAAGACGATCTAATGGAGGCGTAAGTGTAAAATTAAATATTATCGGGATATTTTTAGAATATCTTACTTGTTGTGTCACACCAATATCTGTTGAAGATAGGCCGTACCGGCCCGGTGAAATACCACCACATAGTAGAAAGGCGTCAAGTGGAAGTAATTCGACGTTTTTCTGATGAGGGTGTGAGCCGCAGGCCTAATCAAACTCCACTTTCTAAAATGGGAAGGGATTCCCACAGTTTTCTTATAAGGATGGGAAGGGAAATTGGCTTTGACGGAGATGGGATCCCAGAAGGAGAGGAAATAAAATATCTACAATCTTTTGGCAGTGGTCGCTTCGCTATTTCAGCGACTTAAAGGGGCCATTTCTTTTTTTTCCACCTAACGATTGTTTGCAGCGCTTACGTTAGTAATTTATAAGATTTTTTTTATTATTTCAGGGCAGAAGACAGCATGGTGTAGTAAGTGTTTTATTAATAAATGCATGAAATAAAATATAAATGTATTTATTTTTTTATATAATATAATATTTAAATAAAATCTGATCGACAATGCGCTATTTTAAAGTTCAACTATTTTTGTTTAGGCACAGTTGGATAGCAGAGAAAATCGTGCAAACGTAAGTAACAATTTCATTTTGATTCTTCTAATTATTTTATTATTTTACAAAATACATTTAAAAGAAGTTTTTGACAAAAAAAGGATAAAGTTAAAAATGTGTATATTAGAGGAAGTTTTTTTTTTTTTTTTTTTAAATATTAGCAGATTTCTTTGTAAATTTACTAATATTTCTTTAACCATTCCAATTAAGCTCTATGCTTGTGCTAGGATATGGTTTACGACAATAGTCGAATGGCGGGATTCGAACCCCCGACATCGTGGTCGGAAATCCGTACCCTTAACCATTAGGCTATTGACGTTTTCAAGTTTGAAAGTAGCGCCAGTGATCGAGGAATTGAGAAGTTAAAGATTAGCGTGGTTTGGACATGTTATGAGGAGGGATTATGATGATATACACAAAAAAGTAATGAGATTGAATGTGGATGGCTACAAGGGTAGAGGAAGACCAAAAAAAGTATAAAATGACTATGTGAAAGAGGATATGCGTAGGAAGGGGCTCGGATATGACGGCTGATAGAGATGTATGGAGGAGTAGAACATACTGTGCCGACCCTCGATAGGGATGAGGGCAGGTTGATGATGATTTAAAAGTAGTCTTTTTTAGTAATTTAAAGGAGGAATTACTCCGCTTTGTATTTAAAAAATTTTCAAATAAGAACTTTGCTAAAATTGTTCCATAGAGGCGGCAAGAGGACCCTCCAGAGGAAGTTGGATTGCGTCGAGGAAAACGTTCGCCACAAGTCAGTATTGAACAGTTTTTTTTTTAATATAAGGGTACTAATGGTATAGATATTTAAGATAACAGTTTTTTTTTTATAATTAATTATAAAAAGTCCTATCGACGATGCATAATTTAAAGATTTTTTTAAACACGAATTTTTATTTAGGGACTCTTGGATAACACAGAAATTCGTGTTGAATTTGAAAACGTTAGTATGCACAGTTACATTTTGAATATGTAAAATTTTTATTACTTTTATAAAAGACTAGCGGACCCGACAGACGTTGTTCTGTCTACACGTCTTTAATTCGAATATTATTTAAAATTTGACACTGCGATGGTAGCGCCGTCTGTCGGATCCAATGTAAAACATTCCAAAATCAACAACTACTAATAAATTAAAAATTAATCAAAAAAACATTGTCCAGCGGACAAAATTGTGAATCTAAACCATTCCCAGATCCCCTTGAACACACACAAAAAATTTCATCAAAATCGGTCCAGTCGTTTGAGAGAAGTTCAGTGACATACACACTCACAGAAGAATTATATATGTAAAGATTTTAATAAACGTTTTTATTAAATTTATAGCGCGGAAAACGTTCACCCGAGGTATTTCAAAACTTTTTTATAAACATTAAATACAGAATTGCACATTTATACGTCGAATTATGTCAATCTTTAAAACAATATTTTACATACTTACCGTGAGTTTCCGAGGCTAAAATATTATCTTGAACAAAACAGAGGTAATATGTTTTAAATGGAGATTTAGGTCTCAGAAACCCACGAAAAATTTTGGAATAAAAATCATCTTTACTCACCATTGAAAGATAATAAACAAAACATTTTTTTGTTCAGCTTTTCGACAACAATAACAATGGCGTTGAATTTGAATCCGTGAGTATTTTTATAATCAATTTAATGCATAAATATAATTTTTAATTTATTAATAACTAGTAGTCCCTCGCAAGGAATTTAAAAACTTAATAAGTAGCCTATGTGGTCTACCAGACTATGGTCTGCAGCTTTGCCAAGTTTCATCGAGATCCGTTCAGCCGTTCCGGAGATACCTTCAAACAAACATCCATCTAAACATTCGCATTTATAATATTAGTAAGATTTATATAAATGAAAGATTCCAGTTCTTTTAAACGGTTATAGTTTAAGACCGTTTTCCCTTAAAAAGGGATAAAAATAAAACGGTAGACAATACCAAAATATTTGTAGGAAAAAAGTTAAATATGTGTTTTTAAATAGATTTTTCGGTAGTGACAACTCACGATTATTATAGCCTAACAAAATCGACTACATAATAGTGTGAAGTAATCACACTATTATGTAGTCGATTTTGTTTTTTTAAAATTCTGTTTTATATTTTAAATATATATCCTTAGTTTACTAAATAAATATTATATCCTTTTTCAGATTCCCAGAGCAGCTGGTTTGATTAGAGTAAGATTTATATTTATATTAATTTATGTTTAAATTACTATGCGATCCGCATATTTAAATTTATAAATTTTCAGAGGGCAAGATGTGCTAATCCACCACCATCAGCTTTAAAACAAGTAATATTAAAAAATGCATAATTTTGAATTAATTTCTTTATTAATTCCTTTCTCCTTTTTTTTGAATAATTTTAGTTATTTTTTACCACGTTTTATAACGGTACTGCTCTATGATCCAAAATGGCTGCCGTTACAAAATGGCGGATGATATATTTTTGTACAACCACCCTAACATGGGTATTTAATGAAAGGGCTTGATGAATAGAGCACAGAGCATTATGAAAAATTAAATATGGCTTCTTTCATAGATTGTCGAATGATTTATTTTTGTACATTTGACCTTTTTTAAATTTTCATTTGTCATAATGAATTTTTCATAGTGTACCTTTCTCTGCTCGCAACGCTGTGTGCAAAAATATGTATCATAAAATTGGCAATTATGTTTGTTATCTTTTAGTAAATTTAATTAATTTAAAATATTTTTAATTTCAGGGTAGAAGAGAACATGTAAGTGTAGGATAAATACATTTTTTTTATATCATAAGATACGGGCAAATGAAATAGCGAAGTGACCGTTGCCCATAGACATACGCAATTGCATATGCGTTGCCTACCTTTAATCGACGAAGGAGAGGATGCACAGAAAGAAAATATTTTCCCTTCCCAAGCATCCTCTCATCCGGAAAGTCCACTTCCACTTCCCATCCTTTCCTTATAAGGAAAAGGGTGGGAAGGGAAAGAGGCCTCCGGGACGCACACTCATCAGACGAAACGCGGAATCGCTTCCACTTGACGCCTGTCTTCTGTATGGTCGTGGTATTAAACCGGGAGAGCCGGGACAATTCGGGCGGAGATGTTAAAGCGGGCTCTACCACTGTTAAAATAATGAAAAGTATGCATGGATTTTATGAAATAAAACACCCGTAAGAATGGAGTAAACAGCTGATGAATGTATGGAGGTGTAGTACTTTTAGGTCGTTAATCATTTGGGGTACGTCCGTGTTCATTTAACATTTTTGTTTCCAGGACCCTATCGAATTATCAGCCGTGAGTAACAACTAGTTAGGTATTAACTAGATGGCGCTGTTTTCAATCTAAATTATGTTAACTCTGATTTTTTTTATTTAACCTTTACATGTTTTTAGGTCACTTTTATCCCACCACCGTACCCGTTATTTTAAACCGGACTTAAGTAAGTAAATTTTGTATGTTTTTGTAACTAGATTTTATGATTACCTAATCTAAAATAATGTCTAAACCGGTACGAAATAGTTTAAGAAATACTGTACAACTTTTTTACAGTAATATTGCTATATACAAGGGTCACAATATTTTTGTAAAAAAAAAGTTTTTTAAATACTAAAATAATATATTCTTTTTCAGACCCAGATTAACGATGGAAGACACAGATTGAATCATTTTTAACTGTTAATAAATAAAGCAATTTACGCATATAAAATATGTTCTTTTTTAAAGTCTTAAATCAGTCAACCAACTGGGTCAGCGTGGTTAACTATGGCCGAGACAATAACTTAGGGTAGGCTCAGTGACCCAGTGGGGATGTATAGTGAGCTGATGATGATGATCCAAATATAGATACAACGAAAAAAGGATAAGAAGGCATAAATAAAATAAAAAAACACTGGTATTAATTATTTTATGACAGGAATCTATTCTCTGTCCATATTTTTGCTCCAAGTATCATCGTTAAATAGCGAATCCCATCCGTTTATAAAATGGCTAAATTTAATTGAAGGGTCAAAACATAATTTTCCAAAGCACAAACGTTCGAGATTCACGTTTTGGTTGTGACATTGATATTTTATAAAAAAACCGTGAGTTTCAGAGGCCAAAATACACATTTAAAACATATTGTTATCTCTGTTTTGTCTAATGATATTTTGGTCTCAGAAACCAACGGTAAGACATACAGATTAAATAAATATCAAAATTAATTTACTATTTTCTGTCACACTAATCGGATGCTGGCTGGCTAGATAAATATTACTATCTTTTTGTAAATCTTGGAAGCTGATGTCTGTATCAAAATTATCTCCTGATCTCCAATTGGAAGACTTCCAATTTCTACACTTGCATTTCAGTTTGCTTTTAATATCATTTTTACGCAATGGAACTTTAAATTTGTGCCAAGTGTATGGTAATTCCCATTGTCTTGCCGCTAATATACTTCTAATGTCAAATTCCTAATAAACATATTTAAAAAAAATGTTAATATAAAAACTCGTTTTTTTATATCATAAAGGTGGTAAACAAGCAACTGGCCACTTAAATTCGTTGAAATAGCGAAGCGACTGCTGCCCATAGACATTCGCAATTGAACATGCGTTGCCTACCTTCAATGGAAAAGGGGACGCATGGAAAGGGAATATTTCCCCTTATTATGCGTCCGCTTTTCCGCCAAATCTACTTTTCATTCCCATCCTTTCCTTATAAGAAAACGGTTGGATAAGAAGAAAATCTGAAATTAGGCCGCATAAAGTAATTTATAACAGGAATAGAATTATTTTTAACAATACAGTTTTTACTGTAAGCGACTTGACTAGTATTTTTACTCGCATGCTTCAATTTGTACTGTTTATGATTTCCTCTGTCAGTATGTAACCGTCTGTAGCCTGAAAGGGTGGACCAATTTTGACAAGTGAGGTGTCATTCGATTCGCAATCTTCCCCTAAGTATCATCGTGGTTTAAGTATCAAAATAGTGTTGAATTAATGAAAATAAGGCGCATATTTCTCTTAGGTCAACGAGTCGGTAATTAAAGTTAGTGGAAAAAATGGTTTATTACCGCTTTTCTATTATCCCCATCGTCAGTGAAAGATTCTAAGCCTGGTACATTAACGAATGCTCGTCTGTTTATTTGCTGAAAATATTTAAGTTTTCATAAGAAATTGTTCATATTAATAAATTTACTTTTATTATTTACCTTTGATGTGATAACCGACGCGCAGATAATTAACAAAATCGTTTTAATAATCATTTTGTTTTAAACTGAAAAGAAATATTTTATTTTATAATAAAACATATGTATATGAGGGAAACAAATAAGTTCAGTCTAGACCAACTGAAAATATCCACAAGGCTAGCCACTACATGGTACCGACAAGTTCTTGGATACTTTGGACATATTACCCGGAGACACCCCGACAACCTGGAAAAATGGTTGTGGTTGGAAAGATAGAGGGTAAAAGGTCACGGGGTCGATCACATACTCGCTGGTCCGATCAAGTGCAGACTATACGCTATACGACTGCCCTGAGAGAAGCCGAAGACAGGACGGCGTAGAGACAGCTGGTCGATACAGCCGTTAAAGCATATCAAGGCAAGCACGACCTTCAGTAATGAAGAATACGAAGAAGAAGAATATGAGGGGAAATTCAATACGTTTTTGATTAGATGTTTTCTGACTAGAAACATACAGATAAAAGATATTTAAATTAATATTACTTTTAACTTACTTTAAATATTTATCAGATCTAAGAATATCTACATCGATGGCTGAAAACTTAATGAATTGACTTAAAGTAAATTATTAATTAAAACTTACGTTAATTACTGTATTAGTAATTAATTGAAAATTTTTAATTTACCTTTTTTAATTGGTTAACATCTACTTTGTTAATTAAAAACAATTTATTTAATTAACTTAGATCGTCTGCTTACTATACGTTCCCATTAAGGGGCTCGGAGCCCCATGTTACTCAATATCCTATCTTACTTCTCACTTCTTACTAATATTATAAAAGCGAATGTTTAGATGTTTGTTTGAAGGTATCTCCGGAACTGTAGAACGGATCTCGCTGAAATTTGGTATAAATGTAGAATATAGTCTGGAAGAACACATAGGCTACGTATTTCTTTTAATTCTTAGCGGGCGATAGCTAAATTTTAATAAAGAAGTTATATTTTAACAACTCAAATATCATAAAATTTTGGGTCGATGCGTCAGCGGAGTAAGTAAATATCATAAAATTAGAAGGCGAAGGTCAACACACCGCATTAACTTTCTTGAACAATGCAGGAATTAAATCCATTTGTAACGGAAAATTATATTCTGCAAGAATGCAATAGAAATTGCTTTCGTTATAATAAAACTTAAAGATATAAAAGGCAATAAAAATAATTTATTTGATGAATTAATATATTAATTTCTATTTAATTTAATAATAATGTTTAGTTATTAATTATCCGAATTCGCTGAAATGACGAAGCGACCGCTGCAATTGCGGTTGTCTATGGTTAGCGGCCGTGTCGCTTTTTCGGCATATTGCCTTCCTTGTTTACCACCTTGACAAAAAATTTTTATAATAAGCAACACAATTAAAAATACATACTCAGTTCTACGAATATGCTTGATGTATTTAACCGTTTGATAGATTTGTTACTTGCAGATAATAACCAGACACAAAGAAAACTTAATGACGATAAAAATAAATTACAAAATATAATTTGTTCATGATTCAACGAATAAACAAACTGACATACGTCATTAAATTATGTATAGACTAGCTGTCGCCCGCGCCTCCGTCCGCGCGATATTAAAACATAGTAAGTAGCACATGAGTTCTTCCAGACTATGCTCTATATCGGTGCCAAATTTCAATAAGATGTGTTGAACTGTTGCTTAATTAAACTGATATATAAAAACGGCTAAACATTCACGTATATTCGTCCGGTGGCGGTGGCGGCACCGACTAGTTTCGAGGCCATCGGGGGCCCTTCATCAGGATGAGGTGTTTAGTCGTGTTTGTATATCAGTTTAGTATAATGTTGTTTAGTTATTGAATAAATATGTAAAATAAACATATCCCACGGGAATTTTACATATTTCCAGGATCATAGGTAGTCTATGTGTTCTTCCAGACTATGTTCTGCATCTGTACCTTTCAGCGAGATCTTTTAAGCCGTTCTGGAGATACATTCAAACATACATCCATCTAAACATTCGCATTTATAATATTATTAAGATAAAATAGCATAAAATCGTGAAAATGTAACAAAAGTACCGATAGTATTGATGTTTATTATAAATCAAGCGTTAAATTGTTTTCAAAACATATAAAAAGGTTTTTCTTGTGAGGACTTATTAGAATATTTTATTTGTGTTATAACAATGAAGTTTTTAATCGTTATTTGCGCTCTCCTGCCTATCATTTATGCGGTAAAAATATGATTTATATTATATGTTATTAGTGATCGGCTATTATTTAAAGTTTGATAATCAAACTAATATTATAAATCTGAATTTATAGATCAGTCTTTCCCAAAGTGGGCGATAACGTCCCCTTGTGGGCGCTGCAGGTCTCAAGTTGCGGGTTATAGTAAAAGTTTCCTTTAGAATTCTACGTTAATAATATATAGGTCACAATAATTAATTAATATAATTTGGAGTTATAGTGGTTTTTAAATATGTGAAAATATGGGGGCGATAAAAAATATTTTTCTCAAAGTGGGCAGTAGACAAAATAAGTTTGGGAACCACTGGTATAGATGGATGTTTGTTAGAAGATATCTCCAGAACGGCTGCATAGATCTCGCTTAAATTTGGCATAATCTGGAAAGAATACATAGGTTACTTATTAAGTTGTCTTAATCTTGCGCAGATGTAGTCGCGGGCGACAGCTAATAATTCAAAGTCAAAGATTAAAAAATATATTATATACCTTTTTTGTACTTCGCTACATTAACTATATGTCAACCGTATGAGAAGGCTAAATTAATTTATTTATTAACTTTTAAACGTCTCTGAGTAAGGCAGTTAATTATATTAATTAGTTTAAACAGTTTAAAAGTTCTTAGTCAAATAAAATCAGAGTATAGTATCCGTTTTTTAGAGTTACTAACTTCATAAATGTGACTTAATATTGTATTGTACCTAATTTATTTTAGAGCCAAGAATGGCCCGGATCGCCATCAGAAGGAATACAAGTAAGTTAATTTATTTATTAACAAAAATTTAATTCTATATATACGTCTCTAGGCATCTTTCTGTCCTTACATAACTCAGGTAGGGTTAGTGCACCAGTTTTCATCCTTCATATCTATCAATGTGTCACTTTTTTTCCCGCAAATTAACTTTTCCTAGACCTACCCCTACCCATTTACTCCTTCACGCTATGTACGCTGGTGAAATATAAATATATACAGAATTGTGTGCAATACAGGAGGCCTAGTTTCAGGCCACGTACCCTATACATTCTTGTCTTATAAAAAAATGATGAGGAGATGGGATTTTGGCGAAGGGAACGCATAGAATGGGGAAATATTTTCCTCCTCCGTCGATTGAATGGAGGCAATGCATTTGCATTTGCAGATGTCTATCGATAGCGGTTGCTTTGCTATTTCTATTAATTCAATTGTCCGCTTGCCATCTTATAATATAAATAAAAAGAGTTTAATTACGTGTACTATTTTCAGGAGATCGACGAGATTTCGGGAGATATAGAATCTGCAGATGGAGTTAATGTAAGCTATTCTTTTTATATAATTGCTTTTTTTTATTTTTAGTATCATTTTAAGGGTTAAAGGTAAAAAAACAATTATTAATTATAGGTTGTGAAACGTCAAATTACTGACGTAAGTAAATTTTTTACAATTAGGAAGATTTTTTACTGGCCTTACGTATTTTTTGTGAAAAATATGACCTCACAATAAGACGGTGGCTTTGATGTAAAAATCTAAATATGTAAAGTCTAAAGAAACGTATTATTTTTGCAAAATATTCAAGTATTTTCGTTGAATTTTATATACGTATTACAGATTTGGAAGGTAGGTATAGTAAGTAAAAAATATATTAACATTAGAATCAATTTTTTTTATCCTTAAATAATTTATTTATCAAACATAAATAACTTATTTAACGATTTGAGATTTAATAATTATTAAATTTATATGTATTTAATAAAAATTACATTTTTTATAGACTGCACACGTAAATCCAAGGGTGAGCAATTTTTTTTAAATACTTTGACTTATTTTTTTACTGTATTAAAAATATTTTTTTTTTAAATATGAATTAACTATGATTTAAATGTTTTTTTTCTTTTGTTCTAGATCGAACGAGCAGCTCCTCGTGTAAGTTAATTTAGTTAATTAATTAACTAACGATGTCCAATCGTTAAATGATGAATTAACTATCGAATTTCAAGCCTTATAAAATAACGAAATTTATATTATTTTAATAAAATATGTTTTAAATTATTATAGGTATATACAAACGTGAGTATAATTTTTAAAATTGTTGGAACATATCAAACGATAGCGTGATTTTGACAATATTTCGTTGGTCCAAAAATCCTTGTATAAAAAATATCTTTATCCCTCTCATTATCTTTGACAAAATAGAGATAATATGTTTTATACAAGGATTTTAGTTACAGAAACCAACGAATAAGGTAACCAATAATTTTTTTTAGAAAAGTGAAATTTAATTAAGTAGTTAATTTAATAATTAACATGTTGATTAGGTTCTTTGGAAATCAGCCTTTCCCGAGATTGATGAGGTGAGTTAATAAAAACAACAATATAAATAGACAATTAGTTAATTTCTTAATTAAAACTTGTTATTTTTTTACAGGACGTAGTTGATGTTGAAATTGAATAAGGTTTTTATGATTTTTTATTTATGATTGCAACTTATTATTATAAATACGAATGTTTAGATGGATTAATAGATGTTTGAAATAAAGTATCTCTAGAACGATTGCATGGATGTCGATGATATATCATAGATGTAGAACATAAACTGGAAAAACACATAGGGTACTAAGTTTTAATTCCGCGCGGACGGAGTCTCGGGCGACAACTAGTTAACTATTTGTGAAGTTTGATCTGAAACAAATCTAAATATTCAATAACATAAAGTTATTTTACACATTTTTAAAAGCAAAAGTTATTTAAAATCTTAGAAATCGTTAAAATAACTGTTAAATAAAATTAGAAAATTATACTTTTCCATTTGATGAAGATTTAATAATATTTTTGTTTTCAGGTAACTTCATGAAGATATAGAAAGTTTACTATGATTTAAAGTTACCAAATAAATGTATTTAAATACACAAAGCTTATTATTTCAAACCAAATATCTATTTAATACAAATATAATGAGTAGAGATTCTACACGTAAAGCAATCGTTATGATGGTAAAGCGGATTAACCATTTTGGTAAAGTACTATTGGACTATTCCTGGAGAAATAAAGAAACCATTTGGATCTTATTTGATTGTGTGCCGAGCAAATCAGTGGAACAAGTGTTATTTATATATTATAAGATGGCAAAAAAGCAAGCAGCCTTCTGAATTCGCTGAATTAATACAGCGACTGCTGCCCGTAGATACCTACAATTGCAGATACGTTGCCTACCTTTAATCAACGAAGAAGATGAGAATGATAATAGTTTCGATTACTATTTTTCAAATCTCTATCCCCTTCGCATCCTTTCTTTAAAAAAGATGGAAAGGGTAAAAGTGTTTCCAAGTATATGTCTTTTCAAATATTCTAGCGGCTCAATTCATCTGCACATTGTGTAGTGCCCTTGCTAACATCTCTTTATTCGTGACTACACATACAAATGTGTTTTGCGCAGCGGCTTAAACGCTATTACGAGTGGTATATTTGAAAAGCTTTATACGACGCGGTGACTTTCAAAAGTGAATAGTCAGTTACATAATTAGTGAGTACATCTTTTGACCGTATCACGACTTAGGTGGAACCGTAGTCATATTTATATGATATATATTCATTATAACATAGTTATAAGCACCGGTGTCGACAGTTAATCCAAAAGTTAACTTCATTAATCGTTAATACAAAAACTAACCTCGTTAATTGTAAAAGCTTTAAGTCCTCGTAAATTTAATTCAAGTTAATCGTTAAAAGTAAACAATATGAAACTCGTATTACTTTCGGACTGAGAGAAATTAAGACACATTTATTGTTAAAGTGTTATATAAAATATGCATGTTGCGCCTTTATACTTAATCTATGTCAACTTATCTCTCTGCTATCTATGTTCCTGACAAGAAGTGTTTTTGTGGTGCCTCTCTATAAATCCTTTATCATTCTGCATATAATCTTATATATAAAATTCTCATGTCACTATTTTCGTTCCCACACTCCTCAGAAACGGCTTGACCGATTCTCATGAAATTTTGTGAGCATATTGAATAGGTCTGAGAATCGACCAACATCTATTTTTAATCCCGCGCGGATGAAGTCGCGGGCGACAGCTAGTAAAGTATAATAATCCACCACTGCTATTTTATTGCAACATTTATTTATTTCGATCTTTCGATGACATTGACCGCTCTTTTAAATGAGTCATATGTATTTTAAAATAAACATTTTTGCTGCCAACAGGCGCAAATTTAATTGTGTTTTAGGTACCATGTGTTTTTGTAATTGTAGTATTCGTTGCGCTATATTTGGCTCGTTCACGTACCGACGTGTTGCCGGCTCAAAGGTCTGACATCGACTGACCTCCCCTCTCTCCGGCATGTACTTATGGCGTGTACGCTCGAGACAAACAACACTACGTTTATGCATACACTACAGTAATGATTATTGATTGACATTTGATTATATTGATTGTAATTCAACTCGGAGTCTGGCCATGTTATTTGATATTTGTATCTCGTATTAGACAAAGCGTAAAAGTATTAATACAGTAAAATGTTTTTGAACCTAATGTTGAATTTGTCTTGTTCTGTGTACATGCACTTTGAAAACATCAATTATCAAATTGTTAAACATACGAGGGTGGCGTGGCACGTAATTTAAGTTTTAAGTTAATGAATAACTAACTAAATTAACAGAAGTTACAAAAGCGTTAACACTTTTTGAAGTTAACTTAAAAGTTAATCAGTTAAAAAATTAACTTTCTTAATAAACTATAGAGTTAATACACCTTTGGTGATAACAAGGAGAATATAAATTAATAGGTAACATTGATATAATGTCATGTGACAAGATCTTTAGTAATAAACTGGCCACCTGTTTTCACTCGTATACCACGCCGTAAGAGATAGGTTTTTTTTGTAAACGCGAGGAATGCGTTTATGCACTTCGCCGTCCGTGCTGCGGGGGCAGCAGGGACGGTTTCGTGTGGGACTCCCGGCCTGGGATCAAGGCCGGACTACCCTCTAAACCCCGCGGTGTTCTCCTTCGCCCGAACGGACCGTGGCATCTACGTTAGTTTATCGACGGCCCGGCTAGGGGGAGCCGCTTGGTCGGGGCTCGAATCGTGTAGGGAGGGGTCTTATGTTAAACCACTCCTATCACCCTATTATAATGCCTTCCTCAGAACACGTGAAGGGGGCCATCCGCCACAATTGGCGAGACAGGTCCCCCGTACCAGTAAGAGATAGGTTGCGTGTAAAGTTAATTGCCAGAATATCTGATGTCATCTCGTGACTAGATTTATAGAACAGAATAAAAAGAAAACAAATGTAATAGATTTAAATTTTGATTTATTGAATTAAAATCATGAAAACATTTTCCCTTTTACGTTTGTAGTGGATCTGAAAATAAACAAATATTTAGTACATTATAGTAGTAAATAATACATGATAAATTAAAGCCTATTTACAGTGTATTAACATCCACTACATGTTTACTCTTGTTTCAGGATCTTCTTGTAAAAAAACCGAATGGTCAAATTATATGGAGTATTAGTTAAATATATGAGAAGAAATTCAAAGATATGTGTGAAGTCAACCAACCCGCACTTGACCAGCGTGGTTGACTATGGCCTAATCACTCTTAACTTAGGGTAGGCTCCGAGCCGATCGGTGGGGACGTATAGTGAGCTGATGATGATGATACGTTAGTTGTTTTTTAATTAATAATTATTATATTTTTAAAATTATTATTGAAAAATGAATGCTTGTAACCTAAATTATTAACTAACCTAGATTAACGCTCAAGAGTCTTTTTTGTGTTACTTAAAGCATACTTATTCAATTGTTTTACCGTGTGTTTCTGAGACCGAAATCTCTATATAAAACATATCATACCTGTCATTATCTTTGACAAAACAGAGATAACGATATGTTTTAAAGGGGATTTTAGTCTCAGAAACCTACGGTTAGTGGGTGTAATAAATTTATACTCACATTATTTGTTTTTTTTTTACTTTAATGGTCGTGGAACATTAATCACTTGGCAAATGAAGATACACCCGTGGGAAAATATGTTAGGATCACTTCTCACCTTCTGAAAAAAATATTGTAGTAAAGTATTATAGTTTTTATCTGTGTGGTCGTGGTATTTCACCAGGCGAGCCACGCCAATTCGTTCGAAGATATCAAAGCGGGCTCTACCACTATTTAAAACTCAAGAACGGCTTTACCGATATGGCTGAAAATTGGTGAGGAGGTAGCTTAGAGTCAGGAGACGGACATAGGATACTATTTATTCATTTTTTTTCGAATTTATCCCTTGAAGAGCTGCTTTTTATTTAACTTACTAATATTATAAATGCGAATGTTTAGGTGGATGTGATGTGGATGGATGGATGGGTGTTTGAAGACATCTCTAGAACGGCTGAACGGGTCTCGATTAAATTTGGCATACGTATAGAATATAGTCTGAAAGAACACATAGGCTAACTAATTAAGTTTTTTTATATATCCACGAGGACGGAGTCGCGGCGACAGCTAGTTAAGACATAAAATTATACTGTATAATAGAAAAGTCTTATAAATTCACCTTAAATTATAACTTCAAGTGTTTTTAAAGTTATTCATTTGAAAAGCCAATAAATTTTTTAACAGCAAATCTATTAAACAGTTATATCAAATCGTTTACTTACGCCGTTATGTAATCCATTGCGACCCTAAAAGTTTTATAATTAAATTATTCAAACTTTCGTGAGACATTATACTAAACTGATATAAAAACGGCTAAACACTCACGCATATACGTCCGGTGGCGGCACCGACTAGTTTCGAGCCCATCGGGGGCCCTTCATCAGGATGAGTGGTACTGGTATTATTTCGCGGACGCGGCCCGTCGCTCACTGAGCTCAGCGAGCGACGGGCCGCGTCCGCGTATATACGTGAGTGTTTAGCCGTGTTTATATATCTAGTTTTATAATATAATAAATATCAATAATATTTTACGTCCGTGTAACCAAGCAAGAAAATATATGCTACTATTTGATAGTAGAGACATATCTTTGTTAGTCATAATGTATTTGCATTCAAAAATTAAAATTATATTTTGGATGTCAATCTTATGGAAATAAATCTTCCGTTTGTTTCGAATAATCTTCGAAAGAGTCGGTGGCTCAGGAGGCAAGCCCTAGACTTGCAATCTGCAGGTCCTGGGTTCGAATCCCGCTATGTATCAATGTTTTTCGATTTCCGATTTGCATTTGTACATGTATTCGACGCTCTTACGGTGAAGGAAAACATCGTGATGCAACCTGCACATATCTGAGAAGAAATTCAAAGATATGTGTGAAGTCAACCAACCCGCACTTGGTCAGCGTGGTTGACTATGGCATAATTACCCTTAATTTGGGGTAGGCTCCTAGCCCCTTAGGTGGGGACGTATAGTGTGCTGATGATGATGAATCTTCGAAACGGTTTGATCAATTTTGACATTTTGACGGTAACTATCGCTACTAATTAATTAAATTGCACAAAAATAACATTCCCTTCGGAAATGTGTCTAAGGTTGGCTTAAAAAATATTTTTCAAAGCATTCTAAGATTTATCTTATTTTAAAGGTCACAAATATTATCAGCGTGCTGCCTCAAAGTATGATATTGTTTAAAATTGTTTACTTACGGTATTAAGTAAGCTATTGTGGCCCTGAAAGTTAATTATAAAATATATATCACAAACATATAGGCTTGATTTGACAGCAAAGATATTTTAATTCCGCTGTAACGAAGTTGCGAGCGTCCACATAACGTTAAAAGTGTGTAAAATTGTTTGAAAGAAAATTTAATAGTGGTAGAGCCCGCTTTAACATCTTCGCAGGAATTGGCCCGGCTCGCCCGGTGAAATACCACCACACTGAACACAGGCGTCAAGTGGAAGCTATTCCGCGTTTCGTCTGATATAAAAAAATACATTTGTAACCACTGTAAAAATGTATGTAGTGAATTGTCTTAAAGTAAAGCCTTACAAAATTAAATTTGAATTGTAAAAACTCACACCAACATTTCCATGAAAAATATACTCTTTTAAAATATTATTGTAAAAGTATTCAATAAATTATTTAATTCATAATTTTAACTTACGTCATCCAAATCGTCATTCAAATCAGAACCGTCAGAATGCGAATTCCAAAACAGCTGTTAAATGTAAAAAAAAAAACAATTATGTTACTATTTATTAATTATATTAGCTTACAGTATTAAATATTGTCTTGGCTCCTTAACTAATAAAATTTGAGAATTAAATTATTTAAACTTTATTATAAACTTATATAAAACCCGCTAAAACACTCACGTATATTCGTCCGGTGGCGGCACCGACTAGTCAGCTCGGCGGCTTATTTCGCGGACGCGGCGTCGGCTCAGTGAGCGATGGGCCGCGTGCTCGAAATAATACCAGTACCACTCATCCTGATGAAGGGCCCCCGATGGGCTCGAAACTAGTCGGTGCTGCCACCGGACGAATATACGTGAGTGTTTAGCCGTGTTTATATATTAGTTTAGTATAATGTCTCACGAAAGTTTGAATAATTTAATTGAGGAGGAAATGTAAAACAAGTGAAATAAAAAGTACTTAATATAATAGTAGAGAATTGACATTTTTCCTACTAAATTGTATATAGTACATTTCACTACTGACTCTATTGTGTTTAAAAGGAAAGTTTTTTTAATACTTACTTGCGGCTCACGTCTTTCCCGAAGCAATCGACCTTCTTGGTTCTCGTCTTGGAACTATTGCGGAACAATTATAAAGTTAAAAAAGAAAAAGAAATAAGCACTTGTCTTATAGATTCTTGTACAACCAGCCAATGTTAAGAGATTGGCAAATTAAGTCGCCATTTCCCCAACTGAAGGGCTCCGAGCCTTAATAAAGGTAGTATTCACAAGGCCAAAGTCGACCACGCTGACCCAGGCGAGTTGACTAATTCATAATTATGATTTTTAATAATTTCACAGGCAAAAATTGAAAAAAAAATAATTTGACTCATACTCATCTTTATAGCATAAGACTGCATGCATACTTAAATTACTAGTGAATTATGTATTATGAAAAAAAAAAACAAGTAACGACTACGTGTCTAAAACCTGAGCCACCCACCCGCTCCTGTGACTGACCGTAGTATTTTAAAGACTCCCCCCTCCTAAACGGGTCACGTAGTATGGGTACGTTCTCTAAGTATAACTAAGCAAAGTTGGAAAGCTTTATAATAACTTACGGCGTCCAGATCGTAAATCTCCGGTAATGCGGCGGCGGCGGCCCATAGTGCCTAAATATATTTAAATAAAATATCAACATAATGTAAGTATTCAGATACTCAGAGTGTTTGTGAGTAATCTATACTTAGGGTCTCCTTTAATGAATGATTAAGGAGTTTGAGGCAGTAATGATTTTTTTTTATTAGTAACGAATTACTTTAAATACTTACATTAGAAATCTCACGTTTTACAGTCTGCAACAATAATATATTATTATTTATTTATCCGTTAAAATTATTTAAAATTAAATAATCGAAATTCGTAACACGACTATAATTCTTTATCAATTAATTTTTAAATCTTTCTTCTCTACATTAATTATTTCATATTTTATACAATGAGGTTTTATATTTAGTATTTTAAGGATGCGAGCGTCGGTGGCTCAGTGGTCAAGCACTTGACTTGCAATCTGCAGGTCCTGGGTTCGAATCCCGCCATGTACCAATGTGTTTTTCGATTTACATATGTACATTTATCAGACGTTCCTACGGTGAAGAAAAACATCGTGATGCAATCTGCACATAGCTGAACTAATTCAAAGATATGTGTGAAGTCAACCAACCCGCACTTGGCCAGCGTGGTTGACTTTGGCCCAATCATCCTTAACTTAGGGTAGGCTCCGAGCCCCTCGGTGGGGACGTATAGTGAGCTGATGATGATGATGATTTTGAGGATGTTTATTTAGTAAAAAAAAAAGTAAATTTTCGTTCAATTTAAATGAATTTGTTTGGCATTACATCGCTCGTCGACATACGCAATTGCGTGTGCGTTGCCTACCTTTCATCCACGGAGAAGAGGATGCACAGAAAGAAAATATTTTCCCTTTCCATGCATCCTCTCATCCGGTGAGCCCACTTCCACATCCTTTCCTTATAAGAAAAAGGGTGGGAAGGGACAGAGGACTAAATTAGGCCTCCGGGACGCACACTCATCAGACTGTACGCGGAATTGCTTTCACTTGACGCGTGTCTTCTGCGTGGTCGTGGTATTTCACCGGGCGAGCCGGGCCAATTCGTGTGAAGATGTCAAAGCGGGCTCTACCACTGTTAATCTATGTATACATTTAAAAAAAATGGTACAAAGCAGGCATTGAAACTGGACTTATTTGCAAGTCTGATTGCTAATCCAATGCGCAACCTTCGTCTCTTATAATATAAATGATTAAATAGCAAATGTTATATTTACCGATTTTCCATAAATAAGAGGGAGCAACGCACACAATAGAATCAGTACCTTCATTGTAACTCAATATTATGTTATACAGTGATAAATTCTAACTCGGGCTAACCATATTTATATTGAAATCCTTTTGAAAACAATTTTACACTTTAATAAAATAATGAACTTTGTTGTGCGGGTCATGGATTTTTATTTTATCAATTTTATGCTATAAATGAAATAAAATATAGTATTAGTGATAATAAATTATTGTAAATAGTACGTGAAATTTTAATTTTATAACTAAACTAGCTGTCAACCGCGACACCGTTCGTGCGGATTTAAAAATAAAACTAAAAAAGTAGCCTATGTGTTCTTCTAGACTTCTACATCTGTGCCAAATTTCATCAAGATCCGTTGAGTCGTTCTGGAGTTTTTCAAACAAACATACATCTATCCATCTGAACTTTCCAATATGTTAGTAAGATTGTCATCATCAGCTCACTATACGTCCTCATCGAGGGGCTCGGAGCCTACCCTAAGTTAAGTTAAACTACCGCGTCCCCCCCGGGGCGCGGAGTATGCATAAAGCATTCCCCTCTGAAAGAAAAAAAAGTTAAGGGTGATCAGGCCATAGTCAACCACGCTGGCCAAGTGCGGGTTGGTTGCCTTCACATATATCTTCGAATTTATTCTCAGATATGTATGTGCAGGTTGCATCACGATGTTTTCCTTCACCATAAGTAGGATAAATGTACATGTGTAAATAGAAAAACACATTGGTACATGGCGGGATTCTAACCCAGGACCTGCAGATTGCAAGTCAAGTGCTTGACCCTTAAGTCACCGACGTTCTTAGTAAGATTGTAGAGTTAAAGAAATTCGTGTATCTCTTAGGATCGAATATCGAACTGCATGTAAGAGCTGTAAGCTATGTTGCAAGTTTTCGACCTTATTTCAATGAGCGTGTGACATTTAACCGTAATGAGTTGGAAATAAATGTCTTTGTCTATACATACAGGGTGTTAGAAAATATCAATAGCATATTAAACCGTCAATGGCCTAACGGTTAAGGGTACGGATTTCCGACCGCGAGGACGCGGTTTTAAATATATATATTAAATTGTCAGGGGAGAGGATAAATTGGTAACGGATATTTTCGATTCATCCCCTCCCCTGTCAATTGCACATTCCATTTTTTTAAAACTTACTAATATTATAAATGCGAATGTCTAGATGGATGGATGTTTGTTTAAAGGTATCACCGGAACGGCTGAACGGATCACGCTGAAATTTGGCATAGATGGAGAACACATAGGTTTATTACGTTTTTTTTTAATTCGCGCGATGGGAGTCTTGACCACAAACCTACTTGATAGTAAGTGGCTATGTAATCGAAGGATGGTACGCACTAGCTTCCTATTCACTTATTTTAAGTAAAGGGATGGGGAAGAAAAGAAAAATGTGTAATATGGCTTCAATAATTACGTGAGGTTATTAAATAAAATGAAATCGAATTAAATATCAACTTTATTTTTCATAGCTGAAATATAAAACATTTGGATTAATGATTTTTTTCACATTAATATACTATGGTATATATGTCCCAAGATTAAATTATATTATTTATTGAAATAAAAAAAAAACTCCAAAATATTATCCCTCGACGACATCCGTTGATGTTACTAACCTTAGTTATCTTACTAATATTATAAATGCGAATGTTCGTTTAAAGGTATCTTGAAAACGTATGTATGGATCTCGCTGAAATTTGCCATAAATATAGAACATAGTTTGGAAGAACACATAGGCTACTAAATAAGTATATTTTAGTACCGCGCGGACAGAGTCGCGGGCGATATCTAGTCAGAAATAGACAAGTGTAACTCTTACAAGTATCACATTAATCTATGGAAAGTGGAAGTGGTTATTCTCTTTCTAACTACCCAAATTACTTATCATTTCTTTTTGTTTATTTGTAAGGTATATGATATTGTAAAAATAAAAATGTATGGTACGGAAGAACGGAGCATTCTGTTACAGGTATTATATACTTAAAAGGATGCTCCAACAACTGATGTATATTTTTATGTGTACTTTGGTTTAAATAAATTATTATTATTATTATTTTTCTTAGATTTGACAAAGTGTTCACTTAACATCAACTTAGGTTTGGAGATTCGTAAATAGTAATAAAAATAATTTTATTAATTATGTTTACTTACGATTCAGACTAAAATTTGCAACAATTTTTTTTTTTAGATTAAAAAATATATTTTCAAAATCAAATTAAAGACAACGCGTTTAAGGCGTAACGTATTAAATAAAAAAAAAAGATTTTTACAGTGGTAGAGTCAGCTTTAACATCGCACGAATTGGCCCGTCTCGCCCGGTGAAATACCACGACCACACAGAAGACAGGTGTGAAGTGGAAGCAATTCCGTGTTTCGTCTGATGAGTGTGCGTCCCGGAGGTCTAATTTAGTCCTCTTTCTCTGCCCACCCTTATTCTTATAAGGAAAGGATGGGAAGTGGAAGTGGACTTTCCGGATGAGAGGATGCACGGGAAGGGAAAATATAATATTTTTTCTTTCTGCGATTTCAGGTGGCCGCTCGCTCGTTTGCCATCTTACGATATAAAAAAAAAGATTGTTAAAAAAATTTCTGACACGTCAGTTTAAGATAAGGCGAGGTAGTTACACACAAAATATTGCCATAACGTAGGGAATTATAGACTTTTAGAAATAACTATTCTAGGAAAGACTATTCTGAATGTAATTTGACACCCTGTCTTAATCTGAAGCGCTTGAGTATAACAACCAATTTTTACTTAAAGTTCTGATAGGCTGTCAAACGTGCCCCAAAATGGAGGGTTTCGTAAGTGGTGGGAGTACTTAATTTGGTGCAGGGTTCCCCCCTTACATTTATCTACCACGCTCAAGTAAATTTACAAAATTCCCTCTTCCCCTCTCCTATTATAAATTCCTTCGTGTATCCGGCGTCGAAAGATATGACGATGGTCACTTAATCTTACTAATATTATAATTGCGAATGTTTGGTTGGATGGATGGTTGTTTAAAGGTATGTCTAGACCAGTGGTTCCCAAACTTATTTTGTTTACTGCCCACTTTGAGAATAAATAATTATTTAGCGCCCCCCATATTTTCACATATTTAAAAACCACTATAACTTCAAATTAAATTATTTAATTATTGTGACCTATTTATGTATATTAACGGAGAATTCTGAACGAAACTTTTACTGTAACCTGCAATTTGAGACCTACAGCGCCTACAATGGGGCGTTATCGCCCACTTTGGGAAAGACTGGTCTAGACGAACACTTAGCCTACTGTTTATGGTTTTTTTTTCAAATCCCGCACAGACGGAGTCGCGGGCGACCGCTAGTGGACAATAAGTTAATAGAAATGTGTAATTATTTTTTGTGACTGAATTGCCACTGTTTGCCTTGAGGAGGTATTTACAGCTTCACCGGGCTTGAGGTAGCCGAGCGCAGATGGCGCTTAGCCTGAACCTCGTTGTGTGTAGTTTTCTGAATTCGTGCTACTTAAAGATAATTTCGTTGTTTTCTGAGTTGTCTACACCATTATTTTGCTTAGTAATAGTCTGAAAATACTAACCGAGGGGAATATCTGAAAGTGATGAAAAATGCACTGATTTAAGTAATTCAAACTTTCGTGAGAAATCATAAACTATTATAAAAACGGCTAAAACACTCGCGTATATTCGTCCGGTGGCGGCACCGACTAGTTTCGAGCCCATTGGGGGCCCTTTATCAGTGAATGGGACTGGTATTATTTCGCGAACGCAACCTGTCTCGGTCGTGTCGCCTCCTCCCCCGGGCCCCCGATGGCCTTGAAACTAGTCGGTGCCGCCACACACGGTTTAAACACAATACAATATACATTTTAGAACGCCAATAGCCTTATAATTAAAGGTACTGATTTCTGGTCACGTGGTCGAGAGTTCGAATCCCGCCATCGACTATTGTAAACCCTATACAGTAGAACCTCTTTAATACGATTTCTGGAAAAATGCGTCATTTTACGTAGGTCCCTGCACCTTGAAACATGTTTTCATACATTTCTTAACGCTTAATACGATCGTGATCCTGTTTAATACGCCATCACACGCCGCTCATATTCAATCACACAAGTATGTAACCAAAATAAGGAGCATCAAATATATGAAAACGTTAGTTAACTGGAATCTATTTGACTGTATGGAAGCTGAAAGTTGGCATAGATTTAGAACATAGTCTGGAATAACATAGACTACATATAAATTTTTTATTTTAATGATTTGCCGGAAAATGGAACTTCGGGAGAAACCATTATGTACGCGGATGACGTGGCCGTATCGCGGACAACTTTTTTTTGTATAACAGAAGGGGGCAAACGAGCAGCGAGAACACCGATGTGTTCAACGACGCCCATGGACATCAGCAATACCAGAGGAACCGCAGATGCGTTGCCGGCCTTTGAGATGGTGATATGCTCGCTTCTTGAAGGACCCTAAGTCGTAGCGCTTTTAAAATACCGCCGAGGACAGACCATTCCACGACGTTGCTGTACGATGCAGGAAGTTTCGCACAAACCGCACGATTGTTGATTGCCAGCCATCGAGATGACAACTTCGGCAAAACCGTTGTTTATTTCAAATAAAATCCTAACATTGCCGTCGGTAGTCATTTTCCAGGTGGCGATATTCACCCGACAGTGGATTCGCGACTTTAAAACGCAAAAGGAACCCGGCGTCAGCAGTATGCTGACTCGCGGGGCAGACAAGCTGGCTCCGTCGGCACACCGATTAGCCAGGACGGAGAAGTCGACGCACGTCGTTGGGCCTGCAGTCTACAACCGGCTGCCGGACCACGTCACAGCGGCACCCAGCCTCACATCATTCAAAAATAGATTGAAAACAGTGCTTGTCGAGAGGGATCTGTATTTGTATGAAGAATTTTTAAGTAAACATTTTTTTTTGTAAATCGCTCTTAGACCTTGAATTTAAAGATTACCAATAAATATTGCATTGTATTGTAATTCTGCGCAGACGGAGTCGAGGGCGACGGCTAGTTATAATCACAAATCGGTATTGTAAGTGTGTATGTAACTATTCAAAGATATGTGTGAAGTCAACCAACCCGCACTTGGCCAGCGTGGTTGACTATGGCCTAGTCACCCCTAACTTAGGGTAGGCTTCGAGCCCCTCGGTGGGGACGTATAGTGAGCTGATGATGATGATGATGATGTAACTAGTTGTGGTTATACGTACTTCCATAGTTGAAATATGAAGCGGATAAATGTCCCGATGTGCCGGGTAACGTCCAAGTCCAGGATTGTATCTTTTAAGTGGAACGGTAGCGCGATGTTTAGTAGTACCAGTGTCGTGTGATATCTGTGGCTTGATTCCCATTTTGTGATTCTGTGAACACAAAATACTTTATAGTATTATATAAAGTGACTAGTAAGATCGTCGGTAATGTACCAAAATGTATATTTTTTATCCTGCCATGAAAACATTGAATTTATGATAACACCAAGACTTACTTGTACAGGAAAAACCAAGGTGCAAATAACACTAAAGATTAATAACCATATATGCATGATCTTTAATTCTGAAAATATAAAAAATTATCAGCATTTTATGCTTATGTTAAGTAAAAACTTCATAAATATTAAAACTTAAAGTTTATGTTCTACACAAAAATGCAAAAATGTTAGTAAGGTTAGGCCAGTCTTTCCCAAAGTGGGAGATAACGCCCCCTTGTGGGCGCTGCAGGTCTCAAGTTGCGGGTTATAGTTAAAGTTTCGTTTAGAATTCTCCGTTAATATACATATATAGGTCACAATAATTAATTAATATAATTTGAAGTTATAGTGGTTTTTAAATATATGAAAATATGGGAGCGCTAAAAAATATTTATTCTCAAAGTGGGCAGTAGACAAAATAAGTTTGGGAACCACTGGTTTAGATGGATGGATGTTTGAAACTCCGGAACGGCTAATTAGGATCTTAGTAAAATTTGGCACATATGTAGAACATAGTCTGGAAGAACATATAGGGTAATTATTAAGTTTTATTTATTTCGCGGAGACGGCGTCGCGGTCGACGGCTAGTTTTTAATAAAAAGTCTTTTATAATGAAATTATGTTCGAATTTCATAGCAATGGCGACCATTGGTAAAATTTTATTACATTTATATAATCATTGAGAAAGACGAGCGGAGCGATAAAAAATAAAACGAAATTACCTAAAAAAATTCTAGTAACTAAAATAATTGTTTTAAATTTTTACTAAAATGTCTTATACTCACGTACCGATTTCTTAATCGGTCTTCATCTCTTGATGAAATGCGTAGAATTAGCGATGAAATGGGACACAAATGGATGTGATATTTTTATTAAAGGCTTTAAGCCTTGACTGTGTTTTTAATTAGGATTAATTTCATACTTAGTTTATTAATTGGATAAATGTCGTTAAAAATAGTGTTTATTGAAGTTGATTTAAAACGCATAGATTACATGAAAATTAAAACTCTTCTTCATAATTTTGCAATAATTCTGTTTATTTTAGTTAAAATATTTAAAAAAAAATTAATACTTTCAATTTTTTTTTATAACATAAGGGGGCAAACGAGCGGCGGGAACACCGAGGTGTTCAACGACGCCCATGGACAACAACGATCAACAATACCAGAGGAACCGCAGATGCGTTGCCGGCCTTTGAGGTGGTGATACGCTCGCTTCTTGAAGGACCCTAAGACGTAGTTTTGAAATACCGCCGAGAACACCACAAAGGAAAAATTGTTAAAACACCTAGATTTGGCTCACGACGTTACCGCCATGTGGCGTATGAAATCGACTACCATTATTCCGATAGTCGTATCGGTAAATGGACTGATAGCGAAGAGCTTCGACCAACATCTCAATAAGCTCTCGCTACACAGTAGGATTAAGGGCCCGATACAAAAGGCAGTTATCCTAGAAACCGCGCGCATCGTGAGAAGGTTCCTGTCTCTGCAGCCCTGACCACTGGTTGTTTGAGTCATGGGATTCCGCAGTTGGTGGTGCTCTATTTTTAATAAAATATATTTTGAATAATTTTTTATATTATATTTGAAATGTAATATATTAAAATATAATAAATAAATATATATGAATAACAAATGAACATATAACAATTAATAAGAAAAGAAAATATTTATAAAGAGTTGCAATGCTGACCGGATAAGGTTTCACTCAGCTTTCTATGCTGGGAGTTCCTCTCTGGACCACTCAGCGCTGATCTTCCGTGAAAAACCACAGGATTATCCGCACGCCTGTTACAGTGGTGGATAGCCAAATATAAACGTAAAAAACTTAAAACTAACCAAATATCGTTCCACACATGAAAAATGTTTGATGTCCGTGGCGCAGGTTCGTTTACATTTTCAGCTAGCTGTCGCCCGCGTCCTTCCGTGCGTGATTTAAAAATAACATATTAAGTAGTCTAAGTGTACTTCCAGGCTATTTTACATCTATGACAAATTTAATCGCTATCTGATCACCCGTTCTGGAGATACCTTCAAACATCCATCCATTTAAACATTCGCATTTATAATACTATACTAGCTGTCGCCCGTGACTTTGTCCGCGCGGAATTAAAAAAAATAATAGCCTATGTGATCTTCTATACTATGTTCTACATCTTGTGAAAATTTCAGCAAGATCCATGCAGCCGTTCTGGAGGTACCTTTAAACAAACATCCATCCATCTAAAAATTCGCATTTATAATATTAATAAGAAGTAAGATTCTCTACGATAACATCGCAACCACTGTGTTGGCAAAAATAAGCATTTTTATGAACCCCATTTTCGGTTGAAAAATTGTTGTAAGTTTTCTATGGGTCGTCACAAGATTATTAAAACCAATGTAAATTTGAGTCGATGTGACCTTTTTTGTACTTTAATTATTGAAAAGCAGTTTGCTATGCACTGTAAAATATTAGTTTTTTTTGTCTAAAAAATTTAAAAATCTATTATAATTTAATTAACTTAGAAACGTAACAGGAGATAAATGTAACATTAGTTCTATATTTTTAGTAATTTTTTCCCCATAGCTAATAATCAGCGCAGGAACGGCCTTCCCTGCTGAGCTTGTCGCCTTTTGCCACATTATGTTATTTTATTAAATGTATGTTTTATATTGAATTTCCTTATGAACTGTTAGGAAGAAGATCCGACACTGTGCCGGTGTACTGGCGCAACACTAGCTTAACTACAATGTCGACGTTTATGTCCCCTCACTAATCATTCTGACATTTGACTTTGCAAGGAAAGCGCGTCATTCGCGCCAAAGGATTGTAATTAATAATGTCTAGAAGTACGGCACTAAAAGGGACATTCTTTTCTGTTCTGTTCTATTCTTCTGCACTTTCCGTTGTCACGTGTTATTTGTCATAGCGAAAAATATATTATTCTTTGATAAATTATTGTATTTTGGCTTTATATTGAATCACTTGCCAAAGAAATGAGTACTTAATTTTTTTACTTCGATGATTATAATCGTTTTAAAAACAAAATGCGTGAGGTTATTAAATCAAAATGAAATCGAATCAAACATCAGTTTTATTAATAATTGCTGAAATAAAAAACATACGAATTAAAGTTTTTTTTAGTAGAATATATCTATATCTATATATCAATCTAAAATATTATTAAACTGATATATAAACACGGCTAAACACTCACGTATATTCGTCCGGTAGCGGCACCGACTAGTTTCGAGCCCATCGGGGGCCCTTCATCAGGATGAGTGGTACTGGTATTATTTCGCGGACGCGGCCCGTCGCTCACTGGGTCACTAGTCGGTGCCGCCACCGGACGTATATACGTGAGTGTTTAGCCGTGTTTATATATCAGTTTAGTATAATGTCTCACGAAAGTTTGAATAATTTAATAAAATATTGTTACTGTAAAAGTAGAAAGACTAATATTTATTAAAAAAAAAAACTCTAAAGCTAGTGTCATTGTCCACGGACGATCTCCATAATATAGAGACCTCAATATCAGAGAAAAATCGTTTCATTAGGTTCGATTTGACAATAATAAAAAGAACAAGTTAAATACAGTTTAAAATTATATTGTTTACTTAACATCGACTTAGGTTCTTGTTATTGATTTTTTCAATGAATAAGTAATAGAAATGATATGGTCTAAAGCCTAATGGTTAAGGGTACGGATGTACGATTATGTGGTCTGGCGTTCGAATCCGAATTCGACTACTGTCGCAATTTTTAAATATTTGTAATCGGCTAATATTTAATAAAATGTATAAAAAGAAATATATTTATGTTTACTTACTAATCAGGCTAAAAAGAACATTTAAATTAAATTTTTAAATTAATTTAGGACACAACTTTAGTGTAAAAGTCTGAAAATACTTACGTAAAATAAGTTAATATTAATCTGTTGACAAATAAACAGATTCAGTAAAACAAATTTTGGAACCATCAACCTTCGTCATCAGTTAACAAAACTTCCCTAATACTACTAGGCCATAGTCAACCACGCTGGCCAAGTGCGGGTTGGTTGACTTCACACATATCTTTAAATGTCTTCGCAGATATGTGCAGCATCACGATGTTTTCCTTCACCGTAAGAACGTCGGATAAATGTACATATGTAAATCGGAAATCGAAAAACACATTGGTACATGGCGGGATTCGAACCCAGGACCTGCAGATTGCAAGTCAAGTGCTTGACCACTGAGCCACCGACGCTCTACTGTATTGAGCCTAAATAGCTTACCACTGGTGGTTTTGGTGGTTTTGGTGGTTTTGTAGGCTTCGGTGGTTTAGATCCTCCCCATCCCTTGTGTCTTTTAAGAGCATTGATTTCATTATTTCCAGGGTAAGTATCACCGTTGCCCTTTGACTCTTCTGGTTCGATTTGAATTTCGAAATTCTGTATATACCAAAAAAACAGTTAACTTATTATTAGACTGAACCTATTTTAATATAATTTAAATTTTATCTTTATATATATATATATATAATTCTTCTGTGAGTGTGTATGTCACTGAACTTCTCCCAAACGAGTGGACCGATTTTGATGAAATTTTTTGTGTGTGTTCAAGGGGATCTGGGAATGGTTTAGATTTACAATTTTGTCCGCTGGACAATGTTTTTTAATTAATTTTTAATTTATTAGTAGTTGTTGATTTTGGAATGTTTTACATTGGATCCGACAGACGGCGCTACCATCGCAGTGTCAAATTTTAAATAATATTCGAATTAAAGACGTGTAGACAGGACAACGTCTGTCGGGTCCGCTAATCTATATATAAAATTCTCGTGCCACTATTTTCGTTTCCATACTCCTCCGAAACGGCTCCACCGATTCTCATGATATTTTGTGACCATATTGAGTAGGTATGAGAATCGGCCAACATCTATTTTTCATCCCCTTAAATGTTAAGGGTAGTCCTCCACCCCTAATTTATTTTTTTATTTTTTAGACAAACACGCGGACGGAGTCGCGGGGACATCTAGTTATTATATAAAGATTTTAGAATTATTGTTTTAGCGTTACGTTTAATTATGAATTTATTTTTTGATAAACAAAGTACTTTTTTTTATAAATCAGTTTATTAAAGAGATTGTTAAATAGAGTGATTATAAAGTACAGTCGCCGTCGTTCGCGGTATTCCAGTTACAAAAAAATATTTTAAAATTTTTATTACCCTTTTCCTTAAGTTTTCCGTCAAACAATATTGTTTGCTCGTTCCTTTAACACATTCCTTACGTTTTTTTGGTGGCTGAAAACATTTATCACGACAACATTATTTCGCTTATAGTAAAAATAAAAGATTTTATTGTTTGTTTCTTTTTTAACGAAACTGTATAAGACCTGTTAATTATTACTGAAAAAAAAAACTTACTTGTAAAAGCAAAGCTGAGGTGCAAATGACACCAAATGTTAGCAATGAAATATTCATGATATTTGATTCTGAAAATATAAAAAAAATTGCAAGAAAATTTGTATTTTATTTGATTTTTTTTGTCATTATATAATCATCATCAGCTTTTATCTGCCCACTTAGGCCACACACTGAACTTAGACTTTCCCCAATGCCTATTGAAGTGGACTTTTTAAATAAAAAAAAATAAACATAAATTAAAATTAAATGTTGACCTAGCAACTTGTGGAAATTTATTAATTTTTTTTATACCGTAATAGATTATTCTCCAAATAAAAAACAGGCATCATCATCATCATCATCAACCTACCCTTATCCCTTCGGAGGGGCGGCACAGTATGTACTCCTCCGTACATCTCTATCAGCTGTCATATCTTAATTCACCCCCTTCTTACACATATTCTCTTTCACACAATACATCCATACATTCTTTGGTCTTTCTCTACCTTTGTAGACATCCACATTCAATCTTATTTCTTTAACTGAAAGTCAAACAAGAAATAAATTAAATCAAATTACCAACAGAACTAATTAAACCACAACAATGCTTACTTTATATTTTCTCCATGTCGAATACTTTCATGTATCCATTAAGTAAAATAAACTGCCAATACAACGATAAATGCAAAACAAATTAATTTAATTTTCTAATTATAGAGATTAAGATTTGACTGTGTTTTTAATTAAGATATCAATATTATACTCAGTTTATTAATTGGGTAAATGATAGTTAAAAAATCGTGTTTATTATTTTATTAAACTAGCTGGTGCCCGCGACTCCGTTCGCGTGGATATATAATAAAAACTTAATTAGTGTAGCCTATGTGTTCTTTTACTATGTTCTATACGTATGCCAAATTTAATCGAGATCCGTTCCGCCGTTCTAGAGATATCCTAAAACACCCATCCATCCATCCACATCGCATCCATCTAAACATTGGCATTTATAATATTAGTAATTTAAATAAAAAAGCAGCTTTTCAAGGCATAAATTCGAAAAAAAATGAATAAATAGTATCCTATGTCCGTCTCCTAGCTCTCAGCTATCTCCTCAGCAATTTTCTGCCATATCGGTAAAGCCGTTCTTGAGTTATAAATAGTGTAACTAAAACGACTTCCTTTTATATATAAAGACTTAATTAATCCTCGTAAGAAACAAAACGATTCGCATTACTTCTCCGATTGATTTGGGAAAAAATAACGTTTATACAGATATTATATTATGTTTAATATTACTAATATTATATTCGAAATATTCGATGGATGGATGTTTGTTAGGAGGTATATTCAGAAGGGCTTCACGGATTTCGCTGAAATTTGACACAGATGATATAGACTGGAAGAACACATGGCTAATTTACTTTTTCTTCGTTCCACGCAGACCGACAATGGAGCGATAGCTTGTAATCTATACAATTAATAAAATAGGAATGTCTGTATGTAATATAAAAAAATCTATATTTCGTGACTTAAATTAATGCCTGTTACCTCGATTAGTAAAAACAACTTGGTATTGACAACAACGACAACCTCTTGAGGTTGCAGGATATTTGTATAAAACAGTTATTAGGCCTGCTATTATGTATGGTTCAGAATGTTGGCCTACCAATAAACAATATGCGGAGATGGACAGAAAGAAAATATCTTCCCTTTCCATGCATCCTCTCATCCGGAAAGTCCACTTCCACTTCCCATCCTTTACTTATAAGAAAAAGGGTGGAAAGGGAAAGAGGACTATATTAGGCCTACGGGACGCACACTAATCATACGAAACGCGGAATTGCTTCCACTTCACGCCTTTCTTCTGTGTGGTCGTGGTATTTAACCGGGCGAGCCAGGCCAATTAGTGCGAAGATGTTAAAGCTGACTCTACCACTGTTAAATTTGTTACACTACTTGACAAATCTGCAATAAGTACTTAATAGAGACTTTTAAAGTGGCTTCCATAACTGAGAAATTCAAAGTAAATCGTCTGCTGTGGTACAAATTCATCCCACTACACAAAGGCGACTTTATGATAAAGTTCGCCTTAGATTGGTATACGACAAAACGCAAAGGTGCACTACCTGACAACGGTCCAAAGCGACCTGAAAAGTACTCTTTAACATCAGACGAAGCGTAAGATCGTGGAAATTGGAAAGTGAAAAGTAGGACCCCAAGTAAACAGTCAAGGATTGAAGAAATGAACATAATAAATTTGTCGTTCCCATAATTTCCAAAACGGTTGAACCTTGACTTTTACTTAAAGGTAACTTATGTGTGCGAGAATAGTTTTCTTTTTGATTCCATATTGAATATTAATTTATAAATTACATTCATTGCTAGTTAAAAAAAGGGTCTTAACAGACAGACGGACAGACAACAAAGTGATCCTATCCTATAAGGGTTCCGGTTATTTCCTATGAGGTACGGAACCCTAAAATTGGATGAAATTATTAAATCAATCATCAAACTTTATTTACAATCGCTGTAATGCAGACGCCCCTATCATCAGACAAGGAAATTCTTTTCGGAAATAAAGAAGACTATGATGACTTATGTTTTATTTAATTTTTAACAAATCGTAGTCTCAGGACAGATACATTTTGTGGAGTTTGTTATAGCACTTAATGTTACTTATCATCAAATAAGGCAAACGTTAATCAACGCTTCTGAAATAAAATACATTTGAATTAAGACTTTTGTATTATAATTATACTAAAATAAGAGTTTTTGAATTAATTTTAAGTGATTAAGATTAAAATATGATAATAGATATAGTTAGTAACAACCAGAAATAATTTAAATAGTGAATAACTCGCTTATTTATGTACAAGTAGAAAATAATTAAATTTATAATACTTACGAGGAGCTCGAAACCTAGATTTTTGTGAAAAGTTTTTTGAAATTAAAAAAATGTTTAAAAAGTACAAACTATACTTTTACATTGTAATTTATCATGAAAAAATTGTCCACCACTTTATATGGTTAACTCCTATCTCTATATCAGTAGGCACAGTCCCGGAAAATCGCACCGTTTCTTACATCGAGAAAAACAATGCCCCTTTTTATAAACAACCAATTAGTTAACAGTGCGTTGCGCAAACGACGGGATAATAGTAAAAAGCAATTAGACGTATAATACTGACGGACCTTTTTTCTACAGACACAATAAAGTTGCGTCTCATTGGCTATTGTTTGCGCATCGTCCGCTCAATACATGCGAAATGTTCAAACGACTGTCGCCTTTCCGGTTGAACACCGCCAGTCTCCCGGACTGTACAACCGCATTCATTAGCCCATTATGTTCGCTACGATATTTAGTAATAATTCCTTCATATGGGTAATATCGTCCAAATATTAGTTAACACAAAAATCGTATCAGCGAATTGAAGTATACAGTATACATATACTTACAAAAATTTTAACCTGTTGAAAAATAAACGAACTTAAACAGTTACTACGAAGAAGTGTACAGGTTTATTTATATGGTTAGGATAATCCGGAATCGTACGAACAACAATCTACAGCAGTGGTTCCCAGTCTTGTCAGTGGTTTTTGTCTACTGCCCACTTTGAGAATAAATATTTTTTTAGCGGGCCCATATTAGAGTTTAAGCAATCTTTTAATTCATATTAGTTGATGTTCACAAGTTGTTGTTGAGAGCCGAGAGCTCATGCAGTCGTTGTCTAAGAGGCCTCCTAGCTAAAAAAATTACAAATCACCCCCCAGGCCTCTACATAAAGCCCCCATTTTCTTTCTGGGGCTCTTAATTGAGACCTGCGGCGTCCACAAGGGGGCGTTATACTGGGAAAGACTGCTCTACAGTCTCTTCAGAGCGAGACAAACTTATTATACGTTTGTTTCGCTTTAAATCTATTTCCGAGAGTTGTTCGTACGATTACGAATTATGCCTAAATGGACTTTTATCATGTAAAGCGGTTCTAGCTTAATTATAACAGTAAATATATACTAAAAGTATATGAGATACGTACAACATCATAAAGCCAACTAATTTTACTCAATTTCTTTTTTTCAAGAGCTTTGGGCTTGCTATTTCCATCAAATATTTCCTCACCACTGTTCTGTCGTACATCTGGTTTGATGTGAATTTTTTTATTCTGTATAAACAAAAAAATTGGTGTGACAAGTTTCCTTCACTACTTTTTAGTTTGAATTGTTTTATTATAGATATAAATAACATACAATATTTAATAATTATTCCAAGTATTTTATAATGATTTTAGTATTATCTTTATGCTTCAATGTATTAACGTTTTTGTTAGCAATAGAAATATGTTTCAATATTAATTTAATTTTCGTAACTAAATAAAAAAAATCATGTAAAAGACTTGGCAGTCGACAGCAATGCACTACTGTAGATGGGTTTAAATATTACGTAGCTTAATTGTTAACGAAGTACAGTCGCTGGCGTTCCCAGTGTTCTACTTTAAAAGTAACAACTTGAACGTCTTGACGTTGCATTTTACACTAAATAATATTCAAGGAAACAGTATAGGTTCAACATATTATTTTTAATTTGACCATAACATCGATAGCACTTAATTTTTTTTTGCAAAAAGAGGCGCAGTCTGTGTTAGTTGCGTGGTGTAATAGAATCATCGCATTTGAAGGCGACTGTACGTCAAATTCTTTAGAATATTATAAGTATAGTTAATATTTTATTACCCTTTTTCTGGCGTTGTTGATCAAACATGATCCTTTACCCATAACACATTGTGTACGATTTTTTGGTGGCTGAAAAAAATAGCCGTAGCGTAGAGTTAAGAGCGTCGGTGACTCAGGGGTCAAGCACGTGACTTGCAATCCGCAGGTCCTGGGTTCGAATCCCGCCATGTACCAATGTGTTTTTCGATTTCCGATTTACATATGTACATTTATTCGACGCTCTTACAGTGAAGGAAAACATCGTGATGCAACCTGCACATATCTGAGAAGAAATTCAAAGATATGTGTGAAATCAACCAACACGCACTTGGCTAGCGTGGTTGACTATGGCCTAATCACCCTTAACTTAGAGTAGGCTCCGAGCCCCTCGGTGGGGACTTATGATGAAGCTGATGATGATGATGCGTAGAGTAAAAGTAAGAGATTTAATTAATTATTTCTTAATTTTGTGACTATTCATTAACTTTTTATTTTATTTTTACTTCAAGAAGCAATGTTGCAATACCAAAGTGTATATAGAAAGACACAATAAATAAAATAATGTAAACAAGTGAAAATTTTCCTTTAAAAAAAAAACTATTTTTAATATCGCAAAATTCTTTGGCATCACAACATTTTGGCAAAATTTGTTTAGTGAAGAAATAACTTACTTCTATAAGCAAAACCGAGGTAATAATAACTCCAAAAAGCAAAAATAAAGTATACATGGTGTTCAATTCTGAAATTGCAAATTTTTTTATAATCTTATGGTTAATC